TACCGAAGTAGAGACTAGATATATGTGCAAGGGTCATGGAATTTCCATTCTCTATCAAGTTGAACTTCTTTAGCTCTACTTCAACTCTTTCTCTATAATTTCTTCTTGCACGGTGTAATAACTGTCAAGTCTTTCACTGGAAAATCCCTCTGCTTCTGAAAAATCCCAAACAAAACTGTAAGAAAAAAGGAAAAGAAAGCTCAAGGTGATACCTTATCAAAAAAAGTAAACACTAGGGGATAAAAGTAAGACTAACTCTGAGCAACATAATCTTCTTGTTATAGTGAAATTGAAATCTACAGACATTCTGTTTAAGTTTACTTTACCTTCCATTTTATGAACTCTCTCATTTTACATGCTTGGTTAACACTTAACAGTTCCTCGTGATTTGAACATCATGCTGTTGCTTATTCCTTTGATTTTGATTTCATGTTAGTGAATCTAGTAAGCATTCCTTTGATTTTGATTTCATGTTGGTGAATCTAGTAAGCTATGCTTCTGCATTTGTTTTGCTTAACATCTCAAAAAACTGAAGAATAATGCTTTTCAAGGATCTTCAGTTATTGGTAGTTCAAAAATAAGTTCATACAACTGTTTTCATACTTGATATGATGAATACCTAGAATATTCTAGAGAGCTTTTTTTTTTTTGAGTGGATTATTTTGGTGAGGTAATGTCTGGCCCGTGCGATTCATGTTATTTCGGATAGTTTTGAAGAATAGTTAGGTTGGCATTTCTACAACAGTTTATAAGTTTGAATTGTGTCAATCTGCTGATATAGTTGACAAATCATTGCTACTGGGCGTAGACTATATCATTCTTTTGGATTATCTCAAGAATGAATGCTCATCAAGATAGCTGAGCTAAAGCACTAGATCGTTAGTGATTAGCCTTTTGCTAAAGTTAGAATTCTCTGCAGATTTAGGTCATTAAACTTCAATGAGGATGACACTTTCTGCCTGCTTGGTAGCTCAATCTGTATATACTAGTAGTTTTTGGGTGCAAGGAATATTGTGCAAAAGGATTGCAGTTTGACTAGGAGGTACGGAGTTTACGATTTTATGCATGACCGGATATCATGATTAATCTATAGTCTTTCCCTGGGATGTGTGAGTCAATATGGCAAGTTTGGGATATTAGCTATGGCTGAAATCTTTAGGATGGAATATGAAATAGCCTTGTAAGCATGTCAGATGATGGAGTGCATCATTGTGGGGGTCAGCGTGTAGTTCTGAGAATTTGTTTGTTAGGTATATAATTGCAGGTTGTTCCTTGGTTTACCTGCTTCCAATCCTTCTAGTATTCTCGCCCATTCGGATCATGATATTATTGACTTGCTTTTCGATCAAAATGATTTCATAACCACAAAGAAACACCTCTTTCCTTTGAACATGATGCTTGATATTGACATGAGGGTTTTATTTCTCGGTATTGAATAGTTTAGGCAATTAATTCTGCAAGAATGGGTGTTTTCTAGGTGGTGACAAGGTGGTAGGGGAAGCTGCAAACACTAGATGATGTCTCTGGTGATGTAGAGGTTGGGACTAGACTTTCAATTGGATGTTTCCCAGTCGAACCCTCTGCGCGGATACTGAGAAGTTTGCATGATTTGGGTAGCTCATGGTCCAGCTTACCATTATATTTTTTGTCATTGATATCTGTGCTTGTAAAATTTCATTACCCTTTCCAATCTGAATCTGTTATCTGCAGGTCATATGGAGATAACTAGTGTTTTGGCCACGAAGTGGACTAATCTTAGGTATGCAGTATTGATTTGTTTAATGTTTTCTCAGGGTCACGACAGAAACTAACTACCTTTTGTTTTATTTTGTTTTGAGAAAAACTAACTACTGCTGATAATATCAGGTTTTCATTTCCAAAATCAGGTTGTTTTCTCTTATTTTTTTTCCCTTCATTATTGAAGTGTCAGGATGAACTCAAAACTGTGCAAGGTATTTTCCTAGGGCAGGATCTATAATAAGAGATGTCATATCTTATCCCTTTCTGTATAGTATGTTACTGCAGTATAGATCAACTAGCATTGACCTTTTTTTTTTTGTTCTGTCATGTCTTTGATGCTCTTTTAACTTCGTGGCATGAATAGTATTTGTTCAACGGTTCAACCGAGGAAAAACTGTAAAAGAGTGCCTTTTCTTTCTTTTTTTCTTCGTTTTTTTTAAACGAGAAAAGTGTATAAACAAAAACCTTTTTCTTCCCTTTATATGTAGAGGATTTTTGAGTTTGTCAGCATCATCTATTTGTGTTGAATTGGACTGCTTGCTTATTAATTTTGATGTAATAAGTCAGGTTGTATTACTCCCTCTGTTATCTTGTGAGGATTGTCCATATTGTGTGATTGACACATGCCAAACAAGGTGCACTTGATTAATTGTCACTTAAAACAGTACGAGCTTTTTTCATGAAGAAAATAACCACCTTTAACTTGGTACTCCTGAATTATAGGATCTGGTTATCTTGATGGTCTCTCTGTATAATGACTTCTCTTCGGATTAATTCTCGTCTCATACTAATATCTAGAGAAATTAGTATAGTGGATGATTAAACCATTTAATATGTCATATGCTGTTCTTATGGATATCCTGTTCGACCTCGCCTCAGAGTAATAGAAATGTTGATATAATGACTCAAATATTCTAATTAAGATTATTCGAATAAAGTGAGGTTGCTGCTACTGCACTTGCTTGTGCAAGGATTTTGGTATATGATGGTGTGCGTAGCATTCTTTTATTTTCGTGGGTGACACTTGAAGAAAATAACCGTTTATGTGCTGTGTGGTTTTGTTATAGGAACGTGAATGTTGGATACATGGCTGTTGAATAATCGATGTGTACCCGAGTATCATCGATAGGTTAATTTGGTATTTGGATTGGTATGGAAGCAATGTGTATCACTCTTTATGCGATATAGGACATTATTTCATTTACAAATGAAGAGGAAAAGAGAGAAAACAGCAACTAAGTAGGCAAAGTAGGAAGCTATTTCTAGATGCAATTGTTTACTGGGTCTAAAATTGCAACTTTCGTTCTGTAAAAGAAAAGCACTTTTCTGGATGGTCCTTCTAGACTACTCGCCAACAATAAAAAAGTTATCCAATAAAATGGCAAGCCTTCAATCTTCATACTAGTGCCTCAAAGGCAAATATAATAAGGCCTAAGGACTTTTATACTTTGAATCAATAAAATTAAATGAAATAATGGTAAGTTTAGTTCGTTGAGGGTCTACACAAAGCCTCTCTTCTTCATTCAGAGGCTATGCATCATAAAGAATGATTCTTTTGAAGTTACATAATTTATTTTTCTTAAAAAATGCCACACAAAACATCTGAAGACATATATTGCTCTTGGACTTCTTAGATAAGGCCGATGCACTAGTCAATTAGTGAACATAGTGTGCTCTAGACTGAGTTGTTTATCTTATAGACAGAGAAGATATAAGCTGTGCTTGATTCATAAGATTTCAAAGGATCACCAGTCCATTCCGCTTTGCTTAGCACTTACTACATTGATTTAAAATATCATGTTGCAATAAAAGCTCGGCAGATATTGCTATCAATTTCAAGTAAAGCCCATGTTCTGGAACATTAAAGTAAATTTTTTTGGGGAATTTACGTGAATATACCGTTAGCCAAACTTAATTGCCAGCAGACGGCAGTAGTCTAAATGTGCATGTTATAAATATATAAAACGGAAAAGGGTCAAAATTACCCCCGAACTATATGAAATAGACCATTTATACCCTTCGTTACATTTTGGGATAAAAAATGCCCTTGTTGTTATCCTAAGAGACCACAAATACCCTCAAGAGTTAACACCCCAAATTTTTGTTGACGTGGCAAGCCACGTGGGACTAATCCTTCCACCTAAGCGTTGCCAACTAGGATTCACTACAAAAGAACTAGACCTTTAGCGGCAACAACAGTCGCCACAAAAGCCCAGAAAATCATCACTAAAAGTTTTTAACATTAAATTCTAATTTTGTGTTTTTTTCTTCATTGTTTTTAAAAAACCAAATATGATATCGATTAAGTAGGAGTTTGAAGACACTATATGTTTTATTTTTATGTCATATGTAAATGTATAAAATGTACAATGATGCATTATATATATAGTAGGAGATTTGAATCGAGAAGTAATTTTGATTATTTTTCGTAATAATATTGGATGTTTTTAATATGGATATTGCAAGTTATTTATTTTAGAAAATTAGGTCGCAATCGAAAATTAATTATCATATTTTTTTGTTGAAAAAATAGGTTTTACTAGCGAATGGTTGTTGGAGCCTTAATTGCCACTAAAAATCACTCATAACCTTTAGTGGCAATATTTTGAGATTTTGTGGCGACTTTGTCGCCACTAAAAGTCAAGTTCTTTTGTAGTGAATCTTAGTTGGCAATGCTTAGGTGGAGGGATTAGTCCCGTGTGGCTTGCCACGTCACTAAAAAATTGGGGTGTTAACTCTTGAAGGTATTTGTGGTCTCCTGGGATAACTGCGGGGGTATTTTTGATCCCAAAATGTAATGGAGGGTATAAGTGGTCTATTTCGCATAGTTCAGGGACAATTTTGACCCTTTTCCGTATATAAAATTTATACAGCGACTATTTTGTAAACCAGACCATCAATGGTATTGTGCTGTAATTTTCCCCAAGTTTTTTCCCTAGTTTCAAAGGCCTTTGTATGCGTTGCTTCGAACACACATCGTGCAGCATCATGGTAGTGCATGTGTTGCACCTACAACTGACTAGATTATAAGCTAGTGCTGGTTTGACTCAAAAGAGTACAAAACTTGGCTGCCTACCTTGGCTCAACCAAAATTTGAGTGACCTAAATCTGATTTAAACTATTTTACCCTGCCCACATCTGAACCAGCCAATCTATTTGACACCCTAAGATGTCAATTTAAGCCATAAAAGTGTAAACAACAACTATTTAGGTTTAACAAGTTGGATTATGACCTATTCAATCCATTGGCGACCAACCCAATCTTGACTCAAACAAACTTTGATTATATGATAGGCACAGAGAGAGGACAGTTTAGACCATTGAGCAGAGATACATTTGAATGTCCTAGAACAAAACCTATAAATACATGATAGACAACCTCTTCGGCTTTTGATCTTAGCACCTTTTGTTTCTCTGTGACTTTCATTTGCGTCTCTAGGGCATGAACATACTCCAATCTTACTGATCTCGGGAAGAATTTGTCCTCGAAAATGAAGAAACCTCTGATGCCAATGTGCCCGTACTATGTGAAGGTGAGATTCCATGAGCAGGGGCCCGCCTATAAGGGGATACAGAATATCCAGATTTTTCTGCTGAATGTGGTTGCCTTGCAGATTCTGGTGATTCTGTTTCAGGAGCAGGAGTTCCTGAAGAATGTGGCTCCACAACCTGTTGACCCTGTGCATTATAAGATGTCAATCTCTAGTGCCAGATGACGGTGTCAAAATCACATGCACACTAATTTATTTATATTATACCTATATCACAGAGACAGGTATTGATTAACCATTATAATGAATGTAACAAATTGTAATTCTACACATCCAATAATCGGTTAACACTCAGAAGACACTGAGAGAAATTAATGCTTGCAGATCCGTCAATCTCTTCACTCTCTTCCTTTGTCTATCTTCGAGATTGTGTTCAAATCCTTTTTTTTTTTGGGTGACAAGTAAGGAAATTTTATCTACTGTATATGCCAGGAAGGTGCAAAGATGCACAAAAAGGACGATGCTCTTTTGCCCACATAAGGAGTCCAAAGAGCCCACCAGACTATTCATATCATTTACATTATTCATCCTATATACAATATGCCAAAAGTATGTTCACCCATACTTTATACTGTGTCAACCTCAAACTGAAAGACATGAGAACATCTACAGTTACATTGCACAACAACAACAACAACAACAACATACCCAGTGAAATCCCACTATGTGGGGTCTGGGGAGGGTAGAGTGTACGCAGACCTTGCCACTACCTCGTTACATTGCACAACACATTCCAAATTATGCATAAAGGAACAGCTTTGTCCCAAATAAGTTCAAGAGTAGGCACTAAATCTATCAGCTGCAGTTACAATGCAAGAACAATTGCACCAGGATTTCACAAGCACTTGATCATAAAAACTTCTGGACCGGACACCGCCGTTGTAATAGAACTGATTTAGTCTTATTTATGCTCTTTGGTTGTCCTTTCAGTTCATATAGTATTCATATGCCTCATTCCATGCCGTTTTGCATATGAGTACTATTCCAAATGTACTTATGTCCCTTTTGCCGGGAGGCGCTGCATTTCACTATGTAGATTCAGATATGCAGAACGACAGGGCTCTTCCCTAAGCTTCCACATTATCAGCTTATTGGTGAGCCCCACTTGATTCATGGGGCATCATCTTCTTTATTCAGTTTTCTTATGGGTATGCCAGGTCCCTGTTCCGGCAAAACATTTTCTATATGTTATGTTAAAGAATTCATAGATAGACGAGTCTAGACATCCAGTTATGTAAAAATGGCAGTTCTTCCTATTTACAGATATGTTATGATTAAACGTTTTGAACTTAATGAAAGCTTTATGAATGGAAATTCTTTTTTAAAGACTTTATTCATGAATCTGTTTCATTCTATTCCACATATGACTCCAGGGAATGTCATGTTAACTAGATCGCTCAGGCAAGTTAAGGCATCGAGTGCCGGTCCCGCCCAGATCCGAGTGACCAGGCCCAGGTTGGGAGAGTGACAACTTCACTCCATGGGCCTCCCACGGTAGATAATTCATACAGTAGTTCTCTTCCCTTTCCAATTTGTGGTCCACATACTCTAGAGAACATGCAGTTGAAATTTGTAGAGCTATTTTTCAAACTTAAGGTAACGGAACGAGGGTCAACCATATTTATGTCAAAATAGAAAAAACATGTCATTCACTTAACAATGTACCTATTCATAATATGGTAGGTAATAAATTTGTATGCTAAAGTCACTGAATATTTTATAATTAAATTCTAAATATTCTAAGGTATCCTATAGAATATTATATGTTGATTTTCATCTTCCATTTTTTTTAGAAAAAAAAATCATCATCAGATAGCAATTCATTAAGATAAGCATAAGGAAGGAACCTGATGGGTTTGATTGTATTCCTCATCCGTTTGCTGCTCCAGATGATGATATTGCTGCTGTTGTAGGTGAGAGTACTGCTGTAATTGGAGATGTCCCTGTTGTTGCCATTGTTGTTGTTGTTGTTGATGCACTTGGTACTGGTGCAAGAGTAGTTGATAACCATGTTGTTGCATCTGGTATGCAAGTTCTTGTGATTGACGGTATTGCTCTAGCTGCTGCTCCTGTGTTTGCAGATAGTGCTGCTGCGTTTGCTGGCCTTCCTGTGGTTGCATCTGTTGCGCTTGCAGTTGAAACTGCTGTTGCCAGAGTTGCTGTGCCTGTGGTAAATATTGTAGCTGGTGCAGAAGATATTGCTGCTGTGGATATTGTAAAGACTGAATTTGCTGGAAATACTGTTGCTGTTGCTGTTGCTGTTGCTGTTGCTGTTGCAGTAGAGGTGTTTGCTGCTGATTCTGTTGCTGTTGTTGTTGCTGAATAAGCTGCTGCTGCTGATAATGCTGTTGACTTGGATGTGGATGCATCTGTTGCTGTTGTATACTAGTGTAGGGCTGTTGCATTTGCAGCTGATGCTGCTGATACTGCCCCTGCAAAAGATGCTGCTGCTGGTAATGGTGTTGTGATGTTTGATTCAGTGCTTCTTGGTTGTGTAAGGGCCCAATTTGCTGGCTACTCTGCCTAAAACGTTGAGGTGTACTTGGTTGAGAAAAAGAAGCAGGTGAGGAAGACATTTGAGGGTGGTTTTCTGATAGGGAGATGTGTTGTGATTTTTGATTCAATGCTTCGTGATGGGGATCTGGTCCACTTTGCTGGCTATCGTGCACAGAATGTAGAGCTGTACTTGGTTGAGAATAAGAAACAGGTGAGGAAGACGCCAGGGGATGGTTTCCAGTCATGGAAATCTGCTGTGGCATATTATTCAATGTCCAGCATTGGTTGCTCGAGATATTCCCCTGAGAAGTACCTGTTTGGCACTGCACAGTAGCCTTATCTAGGACCTGTTGGATCTCTGAATCACCCTGAGAATCACGCAGGCATGGTTCTTGTGAAGCAGCTCGTTGTGGCTGCTGTTGCTGATCATATACTGCAGGTTGATTGGGCACCTTTGAATTACCACTCTCAGGAACTGCGACTGTATCATTTAGCAGTGAACTTTCAGCAGTAACAGGACCTGGATGTGTTTGTGATGACTCGGAAAACAGACATATTGATGGAGATGAACAACCAACCGGTCCATTTCCATCATTTACAGGATCTTGTGGTCTGCCTGTGCTTGATGAGGGAATTTCTTGACCACTTTCAAGATCATCAGAATGCATGGCGACGAAGTCCTGGGACTCCCTTTCCCCAGAAACCAAGGAAAGATTCTCCAAAGAAACCGGCATCGGTGGCTGTTTAAGTTCAACATCCTGATCTCGATTGATAATATCTGCTTGTGAGGCTTCTAAAACAGAGAGGGGCCTCGATGGTTCTTTTAAGTCCAGAACAGGCCCAGGAGATTTGGATACATCTTCTCCAGGTTGGGGTATGGAATCATAAGAGAAGTCCATTGGTCCAGGCAAATTTTCTCTCCTCTGCTGTGATGGACCATGACTTAATTCCATTGGCGTCGATGAATCATCCTTTGATTGAACCACAGGGTCAAAAGACAACTCATTTTTCCCAGAGCCATTTCCACTGGACAGATCTTCCATTTCGGGAGATAGTTGTTTTTGTTGACCAGTCATATCTTTGTCATTGACCACAGCTAAAGACCGGTCTGCAGAAGGCTGATCTGGTTGCTTCCCATCTTTAAGCGTCAGTAAATGCACCTGCTCTCCTTCGGACAGCTGGATCGTATGGCCAGAGCTTGTTCCTTTTGATGGCTGATTAACTAAGACATAAGAAATGTTTCTCCTTTGCTCGATAAAGTTGTTCAGTGAACTCTTCTCAGTACCTATGTGTTTAGATGAGGTATTGGTTCTTATGAACTGAGGAAACAATTTAATGTGACGACTCCATGCCTTTCTTATCTCAGAGATAGAACCACAAAGATCAACTAACTGTTGGAACCATAAATGATGATTATCAGGGACAGGAGAAAGTGGATTTTGCACATCCAAAACACAAAATAGTAAAACTTGGTAAATATAATAAAAAAGGACACTTCACTTTATAGAAACCTAGGGCCAGATTCAGTAGGTACAAGACCATGAGGTAAAGAAGAAAATAAGTAAACGTTTCGCTTTTAGTATGGCGCAGATTTGGTAAGGGAATATCTCCTAGCAAACTGAATCAGAAGTTTCAAGTAAACTGAGTTCTTGATTAAAAAATGTTATTCCTGTAGGGAGGTGGTATTCACACTTTTGGCTGGTTAAAGGTGGAAGTGGTTTTCTAGAAACGTTAGTTGTTGCATAACAATTGAAATAAACTCACTGTTGAACTGAGACCATCCCACATACATTTTGTACTTTCAGATGAGATCTGAAGTAGAGAATCATTATACATACAAACAGGGCAGATGGTGCACTAAGCTCCCGCTATGCGCAGGTCTGGGGAAAAATCACTATACATGAAAAGAAAAATCAACTTATCATGTATACATAGTGTATCTTTTTAAAATCACTCAAGTTTCAAAGTTCTCTTTCACTTAAGTACGATCAGGGCTTAGTTATTCGTGACACAATCCTCTTCTACCTCGGCTAGTTGGGAAGATTTGATAACATGTTGATAGATTTGAACTGTTGGATCAAGTTAACAATGTGCACAGCAGTGTTTAGCTCACTTCCAAACCATTGTTAGTTGTCCCTACATGTTCACTAGTTAAATTCTTATGAAATAGATACTTGATTCATGAGTATGTCACACTCAGTGATTTCTTTCAGATTTCCATTCCATTAGTTATTGATGGACCCAGTTGACCAGCAGCATCAGCAAACAGATGAAGCCACAAAAATATTGAGCAATTTTTCACTTAAATAAGAGAATTCCCTTCCTCATTTTTCCGTCCACAGCCAAAATGAAGAATAAGAAAAGAAAATAATGTAGAACTGAAACATTTAGAGGAGGGGCTCTCACCTCCAAAAATAGTAAGGATATACTCTCTCGATCTTTTATATCCAAATCTTGGGATACGTCTGACACAGGAGAGATTGCATTAGCTATGACAGAGTCTACAATGCTCAATTGTTTAGTTCCTTCATGCGCCATTGCAAATCTTATCAACTCCTGCAGAAGTAGGATATATTCATTATTTGGTATTTGTCACAAATCTCATGCAGTGCCAAAATAGCTCACAACTTAGAAGCTCTTCAGGATCTTTTCAAGCAAAAGAGTAGTAACTTTCAGATGAATACCTTTTTTTTGATGAAGTAAGTTGTTTCATTACCAGCATCAAGAAGATGCAAAGAGTACAAAAGTAGATAAGCTAGCTCCATTACATAGTAAAAGTTAAGACTCAGGAGCCAACCACAAAAATATAGATGGTGGTTTTGACTTCTTAATATAGATGCCCTCGAGAGTTAGTTACAATGAAATCCTCACTACACAACAGAATTCCAGATGAGCAATTGGCGTTAAACCTATCCAAACTCTAGAGTGTGAACCTATTACTTACAAATTGTCCTACCCTCACTAGAAAACTGAAGGCTATTTTTAAAAAAAATACTGGTGGTTAAATAATGGCGATGTCTGGGAAAGCTTGTGCACGCCTCGACTATTCCACCAAGCAACTCTACCTGCAAAGGCCTAGGCAAATGAGAAGAAATCACCTAAGATGTTAGTTACCTTTATCAAAAAAAAGAAATCACCTAAGATGTTTTGTTTCTGTTGGAATTTGAACACAGGTCTCTCCAAGGTTTCACCAGCTTCATTGACAGCTAGCATTCAAGAGATACACCCTTGGGTGCCAAACTAAATATTATTTTCTTATTAGAGCAGTTGATAAATTGATATTTTACCAACTTATACCGTTTTACCTAGAATTTTGTTATGTACGTTGATAAAAATAGTGTTCTAATGGTCGTTTTATTGCATTTTACATGCTTTACGTGTTGAAGAGAGGTTATGGAAGCAAACTAGCCAAAAAGTGAGCCACAATGAAGAGGATAAAAGAAAATATGTGCAGTAGGCAAATTATTGTGATTGAAGCACGTGTTATCAAAGAAGGGAAAGGTAAAGATTTGCAACCGCAAAGTCCCTGCCACAATAATGATGCATCACAGAGCTCCCAGATATATTAAAATCATTACCCTCTCTGGTAGCGATGCATCATTCAGCGATCACAGAAAACCATGACCTCCATGACCTAGGGCCCAGCGAATACAAGATTTAAAATTTATGGATTGCTACAGCGATTACAAGTTAATATACAGTAATAAATAAGTTCACAATCACATATTTGTAGATATTTTATGGGTTTCTAGTAAAATATAGGGTCTGCGCAAAAGCTATTGGTTCCGTGCACCCATAAACTATACTCTGGATTCGCCACTGACCTGGGCAGATGTGGATGCTATTTTGGAATTTCAACTTGGAAAATTCCAGATGTATATAAGCAACCTTTGGACAGAATTATCAAATTTTTGCCTTTTTAAAAAGAAATATTTATAGGTAACTGAGAGAATAATATTGATGTAGAGGGGGGGCAACTTTTAGAGAAAGCTGGACAGAAGTACATCCAAAATATAACTTAACAGTGAGTGTAAAGAGCTAAGAAAATCAGCCAACACCTCTGGCTCTAATACATTTATTGAGGTTATGTTGCACCAAACCAAAAACTAAGCAAAAATAAACATTTGTGCTTTAGATTAAGAGCCTGTTTGGATTGGCTTATTTTAAGTGTTTTTAAGCACTTTTGTAGTGTTTGGATAAAATAACATAGAAGTGCTATTAAGAACTTGTTTTTAAGACAAAAATAAGCCATGAGTTAGGATTCTGAACTTATGGCTTTTGGCTTAAAAGCAGGTTATAACTACATTGTCCTTTATGATATAATAAAAAACTCTAGCATTTCTTTCTCTCCATACGACCCACCAAACTACTGCTGGGATAGACTTCCAGATGTAACCCAATGCTTTATGCATATCCTGTTTGTGCCATGAATGGAGAAAATCAACTGTGCTCCTAGGCATGCACCATTTAATTCCCACAAAACTTGTGGCTATTTTCAAGCTTTGGGAGCAAGGAATCAACAGTCAAACACCTTGAAGATTGAATATTAGAGCACTTTGATTAAGAATTTCTTATCTTTTCTTACTTTAATATTCAATTCCTTGTTTTGTAATAAATATCAGTGGTGTAATTAGTTTAATTTCATATTGTCAATAGTGCTAGTAAAGATACTTAGCTAGGGTTTTGATTATCTCTTGTTGCCTTTGTATTGAAGAATTCTTATTGTTTATATAATGGATCTTTGTATGTTTGATTAATCTCGTGTTTTATTGTTTTTCAAAGGGCGATATCCCCTATTTGCCTAAATGAAACTTGGGAAGGAAGTAATATGTTAATTAACAAGATCTATGTTGCTCACACTTATCAAAAATACCAACGGGTATGTGTCGGATCTTCCAAAATTAGTGCATTTTTTGGAGGATCCGACAGGGGTGCAACAACATTTTTGGAGAGTCCAAGCAACATAGAAGAAGATTATATGTTAATTGACGGATCAATTAACTCAGGTCTATGGATTGAGGTTAGAGATAATTTTCTCATACTTGTAGCCTAAATTGGAACATACTTAATGCTTCTTGGTTAGATTTGGGAAAATCAACTAAGTTAGGCTTGCAATATCAGGGAAACAATTTGGAAATATGGAAATATGTAGGGGTGGGAGCTGCGATAGAGATAGATAGAAGATTGTCCCAGCCTGTATTTGGTGGACTGTTTGGAAAGAAAGAAATGCTAGATGTTTTGAGAGCAAGAGTTGTGATCTTCAAAAGATCAAACTAAATTGTGTCAGACTTTTTGCTTTTGGTGCAAACAGATGTATTTAGAGGACACTGAATCCATTATAGATATCCTAGGTTCCTGTTTGGATTCAGATTCAGTTTTCTTACTTTTTGACAAGCTGTAAGTAATAAGTATGGTTTTCAGTGCAACCCATGTACTGGTTCAATGAATGTAATGTTACCTTCTCAAAAAAAAATGTTGGGAAACAATTAGTGGGTAGTCAAGAATCTAGTAGTTTGTTGGGAAACATTAATATTTTTTTAAAAAAGGTAGCTATTGGGAAACACAATTAGATAAACGATTCCCAAGGCTAATGTCATTGACCTATGATTAATTAGTGCGGATTAGTTAATATACTGGATTAATTTGAAGGATGGTCGAATCTAGGTTCTAAAATAACTTGTTTTCCTTGCTGGTGAATGTCATTGATCAATTTTACCCATTTTTTCTGGTTTAGTTTCTCTCTTTCATAAGATTTAGTTCAAATCATCTTGAAAGGTGTTTAGCATTGCATAGGAGGTAATAAATTCTCTACTAGCTTAGTCGCCCTTATATTCTTTCGATTTTTTTTTTTGATGAAATAAGAAGGATATCACTAGCAAAAAGCATCAAGAAGATGTGAGCATTACCAAGAGATTATCAGCTTCCAGGAAGACAAAAAAGCTATCACAACTATCAACATACATCTATGGAGCTAATAAATTCTAGGAAAGATTTAACAGTAATTACAGAGGAGTGGTTTACCCAACTAAAAAGACTAATCAAATAACTAGCCTTAAGAGAGGAAACGGGAGTTGGGATGCCATCAAAACATCTTTTGTTCCTCTCTATCCATAAGCACCACAAAATACAAGCAGGAACCAAAGACCAGATCTTTTTTATGGACTTCCCAACTTTCCAGGAACTCCAACACACAAAAGTCTCTCTCAAAGAGCCTGGCATGGCCCAAGTCAGACCAAAGAGAGAACAAAACATGTTCCAAAGGTCTGTGGCAACAGTGCAATGAAGAAACAGGTGATTGATAGATTTTGGGTTGCATGAGCACATGTAGCATCTGTTGGCTAAACGAAACTTCCTCCTCATAAGATTATCCTGTGTCAAGCAAGAACCATTAACACTAACCCAGCTGAAACATATGACTTTTGGAGGCATCTTAGTTCTCCAGATAAGTTTCCAGGGCCACAGATCAATAAGTGTCTTTCTTGAACTTAGATGTAAGTAGCCTCCTTTGACCGAATAGGAGCCATCCTTGTTACTTCCCCAAGTGAGTCTACCCCTGCTTTGGCTTGGACTGAGCTGGTCTGGATGGAGGCCATGAGGGCCATAAATTCTTCCAACTCCCAGCCATTTAGATTTCTCCTCAGAGTCACATTCCAAATATTATCTTCCTAACACTGAGAGATGGTTGAGACTGGATTGGAGGCAATCTGAAATATTCTTGGAAATACGTTCATAAGAGGGTCGTTTCCCAGCCAAGTGTCTTCCCAAAACTGGATGTGCTCCCCACTTCCCACCTTGAGAGTAGCATTGCTGTAGAAGACCTCCCACAACTTCCTTATAGTTTTCCAGACCCCTGTACCATAAGGAATTGTGACTTCATTAGAGCACCAGTGACGAGTGCTACCAAATTTTGCTTGGAGCACCTCCTTCCATAGACCAGCTGTCTCCTGATTGTACCTCCACTGCCACTTCATAAGCATACACTTGTTATGTAATGCCAGATCTTTAATCCCTAAGCCTCCAAACTGCTTTGGCATGGTGACTTTGGCCCATTTCACAAGGTGGAATTTGTGGTCCTTACTATTACCTTCCCAGAGGAAGTCTCTCCTAATCCTGTCAAGATGATTTTGCACCTTCACTGGCATGGGGAAGAGGGACATAAAATAGGTGGGAATACTATCCAAGACACTATTGATGAGTGTTAACCTTCCCCCTAGTGAGAGATATTGTTGCTGCCAGGAAGCCAATCATCTTTCAAACTTTTCCACAATACCACTCCAAGCCCCAACTGATTTGTAACTAGCACCCAATGGTAACCCCAAATAGGTTGTGGGAAAAGATCCAATTGAGCAACACATGATGTTTGCCAAATTCTCCAAGTTAGGGACCTCATTAACAGGGTAGATAATACTTTTAGACATGTTAATGTGGAGTCCTGACATGGCTTCAAAAAGCATAAGAGCGAGGTTAAGGTACTGCACTTGGGATTTCTCAGATATATTCTTTCGAAATTATATTTGACAACAATCGCCTAGCCTTCCTATTTAGGAAGCGTGATTCAGATGTCATAATCTATTTTCTTGCTTGGTATAGCCAAAAGATTGCCTACTTCCATAAAAAAAAGTTTTAACCAATAGTATAACATGAAGTTACATAACACTCACATACTTCATAATAGTACTAAATAAATTTTCTACAATCTGATACAAAAGATGAAGCTGTGGACCTCACTTCTTCTTGAGTATCTCATCAAATAACAGCCAAGGAAATTCAATTTGGAGGAGGCAAAATTGACATAACCTACCAGTTGCAAGAAGGGCATCCTTTCCACAACAGAGATAAGGAAAACATACCTCATAAAGAAGTCCGCAACCAGGGAAACGATTTATTCCATCAATTATTACATCTCTTGCAGCCTCCACACTGGCAGTGATCTGGCACCAATGAAAGGTAGTATCAGATTCTGTCCAAGAAAATGAGCAAGATCCATAGAAAGAGCGATTACAACAAAAGTTGTGTTAACTTCAGTGTGAAATGGTTTACAAAGACAAGACCTTGTACCAAACAACATGTCCCATTTTTTATGTAGTAGAATTTCATTAAACCGAACATGTCTCGCTCACCCTTTACTGAGCTAGATATTCAGTGGCAATACTTTCTCGTGATTACATTTGAGCAACTATCTGCTATCTCCCAATAAATGTAATAAACTTCTATATTTAATTATGTAAATAGATCCATGTCTGATGGGACACGCCAGCCCGTTACAGCCAGGACTGCACAGGTAAGCCCTCAAACAGGTACTAAGGGCCTGGGCGTGGGCTTTCTAAAAGGGAGAGGATGCTCTGGGTTTTTCCTGGATAGCGGGCAACCGGGACCTATTAAGCCCGATTTAGAAGATATCGAGTAAGACTAGCAACTGTCAAAGGGAGATTGATAAGGAAAGTGTTTATTGATAAACTCCGAAAACTCCTTCGCCCCCTACCACCTCTTTCCTCTGGGAACTTGATAGTGTCAAAGTCCCTTCCTACCACCCATGGGATATTCCCCTTTTCGAAAACAACTGCCACCTCTTTCCAAAAAGTTTCCTTGGAACCCTTCCTGTAAGACCACACTCCCTTCAGAATCCCCACTCCAACCCATTCCTGGTGTTTCTAAACCAAGCTGCTAACGTGAACTCACTTCTCCTTGTTCCATACTTCCTAATTTCCTCTCATCTCATAGTAAATTGTATACCACCAAAGTTTCCCCTAGCTGGCATATAGTCATATTTCTCCCATCTCCCCTCCCAACACACTGCCTCCATTTTTAGTTTCTTGAAAAACAAAGTCAGTCTACCCCCATTCTGGCCTTTTTGTTCAGGTCATTCATTCCATCACATCCAATTAATGACTTTAATATCCATCGACCATTTCTTTTTCTTACCCCACCATTTTTCTCCTCCACCACCACCTTTACCCTTCCTCTTCCCTGTTCCTCCTCATGTATACCATTATGTGTCGTCCCCTTTTTGTGTGACAGCCGAATAATTTCCCTCCCTGTCATATCAACATTTTCTACTCTAACATCTCCTTTTACTCTTGTTCTGTATCAAGAGTTCAATCATTTTATCCTTCTTTTCTGTGCCAAGCAAACTAAGTCCAGCATATAAGTGGAGAAGTGTAAAGGGGGATATCATCCCCGAGTTTCGAAGGTTGTTGTTGGCTCCAGACAAATTACTCGAACTTTCCAAAATTGAGACATTTTTCTGGCCCATTTTTGGTTAGCTTCGACTCCCTTTCAATGAAAGCTAAGGGCTAAGGATCATTGGAGTAGGAAAGCAGCAACTCAACTTAAAGTATGGTATGAGTTATGACGGTAGATCAAGGCATAAAAGTCAAAATAGGGGGTAATATGATTAGAACTGATTATCCAAAGAGATCTATCAAGTAAGCATCCATAATTCTCTCTCTATCTCCCACTCCCTTGTCCCTCCCCAACCAGTGAAACATCAAAATAAACCACTACATCAACAATTGCGAAATAATGTGTTTTAAGCTGCAGCATAAATTGCATACCATGTGTCTAAGACGATAATAACCAATGTATAGCATAGGAATCCATTGCAATTTCTGCTCCTTCACTGCCATATTAATTGCTCTTTTGTAAATATCACAAGCAGCTGAGCAATTTCCCTGGCAAATTTCAAGAAGCAACGTCTTATAATAATTACTGTTCCTCAATTTATGACAACTTGGTTAACTTAGTACGCACCAGACGTTTTTCCATATTTGCTCGATTAGTAACATATTGAATGAAACAGGAGTCCCAATCTGCATTAATAGGAGGAAAAGAAGCGCGAGCACCATCTGGATCTCCAATTTGCTCCATATATCTAGCAGTAAAAAGATGGATTTCTGGAACATTCTGCAAGAAGCACTTAGAGATAAGAGTCCTCGCCTAACATTAAACAGCATTGTATATGGTGTCCAGAGAACTCAACTGTATGATTTAGTTTTGGAACACTGCGTCCTTTTATCTTATCATTCTTTTGAAGTGTTTCTAGCAAGTAATTTCATTCACAAGCAAATTCTAGAAATTTCGGTGCAGAACTTGTCCAGGCAACAACAAATTTACAAACTCAACCATCAGAAACAACAATATACCCAGTGTAATCCCACAACCACCAACCATCAGAAACTCAGAAAGAAAACTTCAACTAGAATAATTTAAATGAAGCTTATTTTCAACATGTTGCACTGCAATAGAAAGAACAGTCTGCGGGAAAATAATGTGCTTCTTGGTGCCCTCAGACTGAAACACACACTGTACTACTCCGTCTAACAAATGTTCAAATTTCTCCTTATTGATTCTTTTCTTTTTATGAAACCTTTTTGATATTTTGATAATTTAACTGGTAAAAATTGGTCTCCAGAATTCATACGGACCAGTCACCATTTCCTCAAATGGGATAAGCAGCACTTGCTAGAAATTGCTCTAACTAGTGAACATATTTGCAGGTAAACCATGTGATCCACAACGCGAACCTGAGGTTGGTAAATTCCTTAATTTAAAAGTTAAAAGAAGTAATCCCTCAAGATTATAGCTGATAAAGTTTCAAAAAAGATTATAACTGGTTAACTTACATATTCACTTAACCAGATCCAGCTATAGCAGTGCGACAGACCAATCAATAAAAGAAAAATGATTCAACATTCAAGTGAAAATTGAAGTCATTGTCGACCAATGCCTGTCCAGGAAGTATTTTGAAGTTACCTTTGAGAAAACTTTTGTTGCTCGTTCTAAAGCAAACATCGCTAGCTCTCGTCCTCCCCTAGTCTCCATAAAATCAACATAACGTATCCAGAACTCAGGATAGTTGGCACAGGATATCAAGCATCTCTCATACAGTTTTAGGGCCTGTAGCAGAATAGTTTACAATTTTGGAGCAAAATCAAGCAGGAATCCCCAATATCTTCAGGGAACACTAAAGCATACCCAATCAAAATCGTCTTGCTTTTCAACGAAGTCGAGATAATGATGCCAGTTCTTCAGCTCATCGTTGTCAAGAGGAGTTGCCTGGAAATATCGCCTCTGGATGTTTGATTCAAAACTTTTAATTTTTTCCTCTAGTTGACACGCTTTCTGGTATAGCTGATCTCCACAGTATCTGTACCTATACAGTGCTTTCAATCTGACTGAACCGTCACTGGGATCCTGGAGGTCCTTAACAACTTGAGCAATTTCTTTATTTGATAACACAACTGTTGCATCAGACAGCTCCTTTAGTTGTACTTCACGGCTGTCATCAGTGAGATGTAGAATCTCTTCTTCTAAATTGGTTACAAGCTTCTTAAAGCTGGATAATTAACAAGGCATACGAACTCTTTAGGATTCACGAATGATATGTTTTGAATCTGAAGCAGAGAAGATACAATCAAACAGAATGTGGCAAGAGGCGGCAGGTGCTGACCTAACACATAGAATTATTCCATTAAATAGAAATGTTCACCTTTTGCCATACCATGAACCAGCTCAGGTTATGTTAAGGCCTTAAGGGCAGTGTTTTTGGTAATGTACTAAAACTGTGTATCCATTTTTCAGTAAATAAACTTTTATTAATATAGGAGACCATGTAAATCTTTTACTGTCCTAAAGGGGTGTTTTGAAAATAATGAATCAGGAAATAATGGGAAAATTCAAAATAGAAGCTGAAACCAAGACAAATACTCGATGTACTAATAGAGTAAGTAAAGCAAGACGTACTTCTCATAGTACTTATGCAACTTCTTTGTGGGGAAGCGTAGAGCCTGTACATAAACTAGAGTGAGGAAGCCCCACTTCTCTTGAGAGAACTCAAAGGACATGTACTTGTCCCATAAGACATGACAGAAGTAGTCCTTCCCAACAAGGGAGATTCCTTTGGTAAACAACCTGTCAAAAGTTTAAAAGAATACACTGATTATTTGGATTACTATTTATGATCTCACTAAATATGAATGTAACTTACAATTGAATTTTCAGAAGCTTTTAATGAATTTCAAATGTGTAAGCATATTGTTGCACACAATGAGGTTTTCACTTTGTATGAAAATAAATGGTGGAATATGAACAGGTAAAAAGAAAAAGAAACTAAGTCTAATTATATTCTATACAAAGTTGTGACTCAACCAATCCTCCATGATGTTGCAGTTCAGTATTTAGAAGTGTTATGTGATGCAGGGATGCTACTTCTGTCTATGTGCAAAACATAGATGGTTCCGGACTGGTTGACAGCCAGTATATAAATAATTAACTGGGATGAACCCTCTGAAACGGATACAGATTACTCATATACCGGACCCTACTAGTTTAGGATTGAGACTTAGCTGGTCTAATTGAATGTGATGCAACGATGATCTCCTATAGCTACTTCAGTAGTGAATTCCACTGTTTCATTGTCTTTTCGCTTGAAAATATTTCTCAGATGTTAACATTTTCATCATTATAGTTAACAACTAATATGGCAGGTAAGGCTGGCCTCTTTTTCAAGAAACTTACGGAAGCATAATTTCCAAGAATTTACCTACGAATATCAAATGGATCCTCGAACGAACTCACAGCAAAGGTACAATAATCAACCCACAGTCCAACAGAAAATGGTGTTGATTCCACAGCTCTCTCAAAGATTTCAACAGCCTTTTCAGCATTACATAGCCGTGCCTCGTGATAAGCATATCTTTTCCAATGCCAGTGACATAGTGGAAACTTAGACAAAAAGGAGTCAAAAGCCAAACAAATTGTATTGCTATCATCCTGCAGTATTTGGAACAATTACTCGTGTTGAGCACACAGTCCAAAAATATAAGAATGAGAAGAATCATGTGAAATTGCATGTAGTGCACTTCACTAATAAGATAGAAAGGACTTTTCTCACTTGTTTGTCCTAATAGTCAGAGGTGGCCTTGCTTCCTTTTTAAAAGCAAGAATGTGTACATAAAAAAGAATTTAATTGATAGAATAGAGGAAGACTAATGTGCAGCTGGTGCTCATATTGATAAAATGATTTGAACAGCTCATTGTAAATTGTAAAAACAGGGATTTTGCCCCATTTATCTAATGCTGAATCGACGACCTATTCTAAGTAAGAAGAGCTCTTTGGATTTTAAAAAAACAAAAAACTTTGCTGACAAGTACATATTTTCTATTTTGTCATAAGTGTCCTCTGAATATTTTGGTTTAACATTAATTTTGATATCATCAACAGAGCTAGATGCATATCTTCCATGTTCAAGTGATTGCCCCTTAAAAGATTTTATCTTCCCCAAACTTTTATGCCAATCTGGAATAGGAAAACAGTTTGACTATTGATTACACCTGCTCCTAATAGAAGCAGAAACCGTTACAAGAGAGCAGTTCCTGCAAGCAGGTAAGTAATACCTATGATGTGTTCTGGCCAAGAGAGCAACCAAGAAGATTATGATGCTAAGAAAGTAAAATGGCAAATGAGAAATGGAGATCAAGGCCAGAGAAGCAAGAAACTAGAGCAACATATCTATCAAGTGAATCACGACTCAACTTCCATTTTCTTGTTTGGTTGCTTAATGTTGATACACAGTTTTATGTGCTTACAATGGTGACTTTGTTATTTTATACTTTGATCACATTTGGGTGTATAACGAAAATGAGTCCTTAATCTTATCCCCAAAAAAAGTGTTTTAAGTGGAGATGGAGCAAGCTAGTGAAGAGGGTACATGGACACTACTTTATTCTTTCTTGCCTGGTGAGTATCCCAAGAATGATTGTTGGGGATTCACTCAATATCCTTTCTTTGATGCAGGTTCATATTCAAGGATGAATCCTTCTAGAAGGGGGATGATCTATGTTGCTAGGACTGCACTGTGTCAAATCCTCCAAAAATGCATTACTTTTCAAGGATCCAACACTCACCTTTCGATATTTTTGAAGAGTACGAACAACATAGAGATGTTGTGTGCATGGACAGACAAGAATTAAACCAAGTAGCTTATGATGCTAAAATAGTAGAATTGTGATGAGTATTGCGGATCAAAGAAAGAGAAGTTAGAATTAGAAGCGAAGAGCAACATATTCAACCGAGATTATCATGACCCAATTTTAATGATGCACGCACAACTCTCGATATATGGGGAATTTGGAAATGACTCATGAAAGAAAATTGTAGCCCTTTTTTTTGATAAGGTAAAGTAATTTATAAAAGAAAATTGTGGATTTCAACTTTATCAACAAAAAAAAATTATAATAGAAAATTGTAGCCATTGACATCTAGTTTCTATGGATTATAACATTTTTCATTTGGATTCTCCTACACAAAGTTCGGGCTATTACACTAAAACGTCCAGAGCAAAGTACGGCACATAACTGCACGACGAGAAGACTGCCCAATGCAGCCAGCGCGACGCGCTGAAATCAGAGAGGTGCCATTTTGTAGAGTAGCTTTATGTGTGATCTCTGTTGTACACATTTTGTTATGTTGTTTTGTGACTTTTTGTTATTTTTGACCAAGCCTGCGAGTTTTCACGGACAGATACAGATTATTCATAAGTGTATGAAATGTCACTCCGAGAAAGGCTTCTCTCCCAAGTTCTATTGAAGAATTCTACTTTGCTACGTAAGATTGGATCCTTGTAGCATTCATTCATCTTGTAGATTAGGTTCATAAAGACGAAGTTTATACACATTGCTTTGTGATCAATTTTTAAGTAATTGGGTTCATTCTCCTCCTACTCCTTCTTTACGGCTTTTGATTCAATCGAGAGTTGAAGTTTTATACTTATTTGCCTTTGCATTTGAGCTTTTGATTTTATTTTTTTAGATGTAATAATTTTTTTATTAGAGAATACCACGAAGAGAGTGCAATTGATGAATAGTACAACCCCAGCAAAATGTGTCTTAAGTACACTAGCTACATGTGAAAAGCACCAAGGAAATTAATCATTTTTTATTGTAACTAAGGAAATTGATCATCCTGTCTATTTCCTGTACATTTTCATTTTTAAACCAAAAAGTTAATAGAGCTAAACATCTATGGTTTAAGGCACACATGTTTTCCTCTTTTTGTTTCCAAACTCTTATTTATTTCCTTCCATACAATTTACCATATAGCCATCAGTATAGTGTTCCACAATTTTTGTCACCTTTTGTAGTCTTCTTCTAATCCAACAATGTAGCATGTCTTAAAAGATTTTGGCATGCACAATTTAACTTTCTGGGCTTTTGATTCAATTGAAGGTTGAAGCTTAATATTTTTTTTGAGAAAGTTAACATTTTATAGACAACAATACACCAATGGTGTATTTCAGTACTAATTACATCAGGAGTATACAGTAAGCAAAACCAAAAGATCTATCATTTATACCCCTCCTAAACTATCTAAAAAGTGAGTAAAAGACTCCACCTCTTTGGGGAGGACATGGTTACACCAAAAATGAAGGGTTATATGGCAGTTCAACTTCAAACTCTGGAAAGGGATGCTCTTGTTTTCGTCTTTTCGAAGATCTCTGTTTCCTTTACTTCCAAATTGTCCACCAGATGCAAGCAGGGACAATCTTCCATCTCTCCTTGTGACCTGATGTATTCCCTTCTCTATTCCAACGTGCTGGAAAATTTGAGGTGTGTCTTGGCATGGACCAGCTGATTCCCCTCAAATTCAAAAAGAACTGCCATGATTTCTCTGTCACTCTGCATTGGAGGAAGAGATGGTTTGTTGTCTCTATTTCTATTTCACAAAAGAAACACCCGGAGCATAACTGTCTTCCCCTTTTCATTAGATTGTCCTGAGTTAGTACTGCTTCCCTAGCTACCAACCAGGTGAAACAAGACACCTTGTGAGGTACATTAATTTTCCATATCATCTTCTAAGGCCATGGTAACAACATTGAAGTTTAATATACTTCCACTTGTCTTTGATCCTTTGGCTCCGCATCTATCAATATATTGTAGGTGTTGGGAAAATGCTCGTCATAACTACTTAGGCATATTTTTCTTAACAGTTTCCGTCCTAGTCTAGGCATTGTTATATTTAATTTCTCTCGTACAATCATCCCAAAGCCATGACCATAGAAGAGCCAAACCCACCAAAAATTGATCAATGCAGTGAACTAATTCAAGAACAAGAATGTTGTTTTGCTTACTGGACTTGGAGTATAGTTGTTCTTATACAAACTAGAAAATCCAAAATAGTCAAGTTCAATACAACATGATTAACAAAAGCCCAATATAAAGCTATGTCCTATATCAAGCATGATAACAAATTTGACCCACATGAAGCCAAGTAAATTTGGACTTACAGGGTAGGTTTTCTCAATCTCTGATATCAGTGAGTTCCAGGAATCAAGGTCTTCTGAGCCTCCAGAAATCATATCCTTAAGTCTTTCATTATGAACTTCAATAAAGGAAACCATAGTTCTGTCTTCAGAATCAAGCAATACTAAAACATTGAAAAGAAAAATGGCACAAGTTGCATGACTAAATGAGGCTAGTTACAAAAAAAAAAACTAGAGAGACAAAGAGGATAATAACTTAGTCAAACTTTCTGAAGTGTGCAGTAAAAGGAAAAATGTAGAAACTGAAAAACTAAAATTTTGAGATAATCACAATCGTCAAACATAGATGGAAAAGAAATGAGAAACAGAAGAGCAAATAGCCGAATAAAGCCTTAACATTTTCCTTCCTAGGTTCTCTGTTGCATTCAATGGCAGTTATTCCGTGCAAGAAAGGACAAGCCACCAGGAATATCAGGTTTGAAGTTCATGCACATGAAAAATTGTCAATCAACAGTTAGTGTGCTTTCATTTTTTTTTCCTTTTTCTTTTTTTATCAAGTTACACTAAATGTGTTTATTAGAGAATCATGGCATGAAAATGTCGGATAGTACAATAATAAACACTGATAAATATCAAAAACAAGAACTACAATAATACAACTAGTACAATGACAAACACCAATCACCCTAAGTAAGACAACACCACTACACTACTAACTAACCTTCTACCCTAATATGTGTCCTCTACACCCTCATATCTAAGGCCATGTCATCAGTGACCTGAAGTTGCATCATATCTTGTCTTATCACCTCTCCACAATACTTCTTTGGTCTACCTCTGCCTCTCCTCGTACTCTCTATAACCAACCTCTCGCACCACCTCATTGGTGCGTATACGCATCTCCTCAGTCTCGCTTCCCTCATCTTGTCCACCATGGAGGTCACTCCCACCTTATCCCAAATATCCTCATTTCTAATTTTATCGATCCTAATATGACCACACATCAACCTCAGCATTCTCATCTCCACAACATGCATCTTCTGGACATAGGAGTTTTTGACTAGACAACACTCCGCCCCATACAGCAATGTCATATTAAAAACCACTCTATAGAACTTAACTTTGAGATGACTGTGAACATTCTAAGGTATTCAACAGTCCTTCATTTTAGAAACTAGCTTTAGAACAATGGTGAATTAACATTAGTCCCCAAGCTACATGGTCTAAGTTGACTAACCATGGAACCCAACTTTTTTTTTGATAAGGTAAGGTAAGGTCATGGACCCCAACTTTATTAAAATGGCTAATAGTGTGTTTCACTTGAATACTTCATTTTCTTTGTTGTCCTATTTCATTCACAAATTTATGTAGATGAAATGGTTATACCATTGCTACCTGTCATCCTGACCATTCAAACTCAAGAAACACAAGGCAGCTATAGAGGATGAATAAAATCATAAGCTACCAGATAGCAATTTTCTTTAGATAGTAGATAGTGCATTCCACATTTTTTATTACTTTCATTAACATTTGCATTATAATGTTCTTTGGTAAATTTTAATTAGTTACACCAAATTCTAATACTTTTTGAGAATGAAAAAAGATTCTAATACTAGTAAAATGAGCTTCTAAAATCATCTCCGTATAAATTTTTTAATTCTATTCCAAAATTTTAGCACTGAGCAAATTTTAGCACTGATGCTCACAAAAATAACAAGACAATCCAACAGCTGTCCATTATCTTCTGAATTACAACATTTCATGAAATGATACTTATTCAATCTCACAAAAGGAAAAAGTTCTTCAAACAGCTTTATAAGTTATTTCTAAGCAAATCATCCTTTATCATAAAACTTGTTCCTAGAGCTACAATCCTAGTGAAACTAGAACCTAATTAATAGGGTCTCCCGCTTCATTTCATTACAATCGTTTTTAGTAAAACTAAAACCTAATATAAGTTTCTTATCCCATAGGAGATGATAACAATCACAAGAATGAGAACAAAAAGTGGGATGTGTGGATTGGGCGCACATTACACGTTCGAACCTTGCCTCTGGCATGAAGCCTGACCTTTAAGTGGTAGCAGGATGGAGGGGCTGATCTAAATTCCCCTGAGTTTCAAACTTATGGGCCAATTGAGATTGGACGACTAACCACTAGGGATTTCTCGACCATAATTTTTTTTTTCAACATGTATGCACACATACTATGAAAAATTACACATAAATCATATTATCATCAACCATATCACACATGTGTGCTAGTTATATCTATTTAAGTTAGCATGAATGTTGTTTAACAAGTTTGATTTTTTTAGGTCAAAAAGAAGTTGTTCCTTTTATCATATATCTAGTTCATTTTCGAACAAAATTTCACTAAAAGTATGAACAAGAATTTGTGATTGAAGGGGAGAGCCCGCGTTTGAATCAGATTGAGATTGTCTGGGGCTAGGCAAGCGATTTCTTTGTTATCAAATGAAATAATGATAGAAAAACTTTAATTCAGAGGTATAAACCTTGAATGGGATGATGTCCATCAGCAGCATTGTTATTGTGTACCTCCATAGCTGGAGATGAAGATGAAGATGAAGATGACCGGGACTGCTGTCGCCGGCTAAAAGAGGAAGCAGCGCCTCCAACTGGTGATAGTTTTTTCCTAATTACTCCCTCTAGTCCATATTAAGGGGCGATTTGGTCACCTGAGAAAAAATAATGTAATATAAAATTATAAATTTTATTGTACTGTATTTTTTCTTCATAAATATATGGAGTAATTTTTATAAATTGACAAAAAAAGGTTTAAAATTTCATAATAAAGGTCTAATAGACTATCACAAAGTTATTTTTTAAAAATAATATTTTTTATCAAATTTTAATTCAATGAAAAAAAAAAATTGAGCATGATTGTGTAAGATACTTAAAAATAATTGAACATAATCAATATAATTGATAACTATATCATCTTATTAATATTTTGTGAATATTTCATGACTTTTTTTATATTTTCGTAAAAAAATTATGTAGCTATAAAATGGAAGTGTATTCTTACAAATATAAATTTGTGGGTCAATTTTTATATTTGAAAATGTAAAATCATGCTATGAAATTTTCAAATTAAACTTTGAAATAAAGAGATGAAATTGCATGTCCAAATATTGATTTCAAATCATGAAATGAAATTGCATGTCCAAACCCTACTAAGTGAATTATTAAAGTGTGACACACCCTTAAGAAAAATATTTAAGAACATAATTAAAGGCTACGTTTCAGTATTATACTTTTGATTATTCTTAAACTATTCTCCTAAAAATATAAAGTGATTAAGAATCCCATTGGAAGGGTAAATAAGAAAAAGAGTACTAAGATTTTTCTTAAACTTATTAACTTTTATAAAATCAATTATTAAAAATTAATAAATAAACATATATCTGTAATAAATGTTATAAAAAACAGTTGACATCTCTAAAACTACTCATTTTTACAAGAACATCATGGATGGCATGTTTGACAAAGGAAAAATATTATAAAATATAACGTCAAAGATTAGTCTAATGGTTGACAAAATAAAAAAAAAGAACACCATAAATTATCAATTCCAAACTAAAAAAACAATAGCATGGAATATAAAATAAAAAGTCAACACTAGTAAAATAAATATATAAAAATATAAATTCAAAAAAGTAACATAATACTCTTATTCAAAATTCAATATGACATAAAATAAATTTTGTTATAACTTAAGTAAATATAATTCAAAAGAGAAAAAAAGAGAAGATAAATATGTAATATCACTTAGTGATAAAAACATTACTTTAATTCAAGTATTAGAATAATAATGCAGTTATGTTAAATGACAAAAATAAAAAATACGAATAATTACATTGAATCATAAAAAGTAAAAGATTGAAAAAATGTGAATTAAGAAAAAGAGAGGTAAACAATCTAAAATGAAAAAAAAAAAAAGGTAAATTTGAAACAGGAGGAAAAGAGAGATAAATAATCTAAAATGAAAAAAAAACAAGAGGAATTTTTTTAAAAAAGTAATCTTATAATTACATCAGGTAAATATAGTACTAATTTCTCATCTCCAATGAGGAATGTAATTACAATTTACTCCCACTAATTTACACTCAATTTGTTTCTATAACATTATAATTATTTCATCAAACAAATATGTCAATTCCAAATGTCAATATTAAACTGATCAAGTTCAATATCATTTCTTTTAAAAGAAATAGTATAGAATTATAATATTATGTGCTTAAAATAAAATGTTATAATTATTACAATGTTTTCAATCTTGATTTATTTTTTAACGTGAATTTTATTGTCTACAGAGAGGAGAAGACTCCTTCAAGAGAACTTTAAAAATATTTTTCATCTTCTCAAAAAAATTCGTAGAACTTTCGTAGCACCTGCTTCAAAATTTTCATGGAACGTTTGATATGATTTATTTCTATTTAAAAAAAAAAAAAAAAAAAAGAGGAGGAGGAAAAACACAAGATGTTGAATGTTGACCCTAAAAAAAAAATCTGTTTTTCACCAATATTTATTTTTTGTCCCTGTTTTAGAAATTGTTTAAAATTAACATTTTATATTTATATGTAGTCAATTAAATGGTTTAAATGGGTAGCATTTAATTTTTAAAAAAGTTGTCTTAAAATAAAAGTTTCATGTCAACGAAAGTAAGTTGAATGACTTTTGTAAGTAAATAATAATTAAGTGATTTTTGAGTTATAAAAAAAAACTTTTTAAGTGAATTATTTTTAATTGAGGGACTCATTTGAGATATAATAACTCTTGTTGAAGAGTGAAAACAAACAGGTGAACATTAAAAAAGAAAACATGTAATTTTTAAAGAAAAAAAAGACCTGGAGAATCTTATAATCTTTTTGCTTATTTTTATTTGTCCACTTTGAATTTTGTACACCCTTTAGTGAATTTTTTAATTTTTCTTTTCTTAAAAAAAATAGTTGAATTGTTCAAAATTCAAGATAAAATTTTGATTTTTTTCTTTCATATTTGTTCATTTCTTTTATGAAGTTTTACATTTTCAAGTAATGACTATCTTTACTTTGAAGAATAACTTGGAAATAAACAAAAGGTTAATAGTCAAAATATAGTTTAAATTACGATGACAAGATGTTTTTCTTAATCGGTGGTGCGTTGCCTCACAAATTTACTTAATATATGGAATAGAGGGAGAAATAATATGAATATTTTTCCGCAACAACCCCATACTAATTGATGATTAGTTTTAGGTTTTGAAAATGATTTAAGAAATAAGTAAAATATTGCAGTAAAACAATTTTTTTTTAAGTCTTTGTTCAATATTAACATTAACTAGTAAAAATAAAAAAAATTATTTTTAAAATAATGACCAAGTAAAAGTGAACCAAAAAAGTAGTTTGTTTTAGGTGAATTTAAGACCTCTATACTCTGAAGATTATGCATCGAGTAATGGATACGATTAAGAAACAAGAATATATTACTCGAAAAAATTCACGAAAGACAATTGATTGTGTATTAGCTGGCAAATTATACAGAAATTTTGAATCACACTAAATAAGTTATGTGCTACGAACTCAATGGATCAAATAGGGGAAATTCCTTGCATTCCTTTGAGATACCAAATCCCTTGTACCAACTTTAGACAACACATGACCCGAATCAATTCAACCAATTGAGAAAGAATCAGGTGAGATTCAATTTTCGATCTCCTTTATAACGGATATCGATAGCAATTTTTGTTTTACGCAAAATAGGAATATTTTCTTGTCACAAAATCTATTCGATCGTATCTGCAATGGATTGAATTATTAGCATCATCAAAATGGTCCAGAGTACGTATGATTTGAAATAAATGTGGGGTAGAGTTGTTGATGCATGTGCCTCTTGTATTAGTGAAGGGAGACAAATTCTAGTACTATTTGTGTTTCTACTTATTTCTTTGTGGGGAATGCGTATCAAATCAATTTATGTCATACTATTTGATATTGAAATAAAATAAGATAGGATAACATTTTCAAATTCAGTTATTTTGAATTATAGAAATATAATAGTTTTATTTTTCTACGGATTAAAAAAAAGATGAATTGAAACTAGTGGAGTATTGTAATATTTATACATATTGTTTTGATTTTAATGTCTCATTTTTTAATTTCATATTATCTGCTTTCTATATATTTCCGGTGGGTCATGTGAATCTATAGTTTTTTTTTTTGTAAGAGGATTAGCTAATGTATAGTTTTTCTTATTCGATTTTTTTGTTTAGTGAAACAAATTAAACAAAGCAATTTAAAAACAAATTTTGTAAATTATATATGAAGGCTAACTAGTAACTATGCATGATTTTTTTCTTGGATTTCAAGGGAAGTTCTCCATAAATCCGCAATATAAAGTTAACTTTACATCGTTTAGGTAATAATTGTGATCACGTCCAATTCTATTCTTGATTTGAAAATAGTACGATTGTGTGTAATAATAAATTTAATAAAGGCTAGGATTGATGTCACGAAAAGTGTGATGTGCATTAGAGTATAGAGTTCAATGCAATTATCCCACCTAATATTTGTTATTGGTATATAGTTGCTTACCACTTATATTATTTGGTATAAACAAATAGGAAAACAAGAAAATTCATCACTAATTGACTAAATGAAAAAGAGAAGATCTGAATAAAAGATACTACGTACAATTTTTCAAAATTGTCTTGCTATTAGATTACACTTGTAAAACGTGTGGTCCAACAATAGAGAAATGGTAATATTTTTCCATAGAAACTTCATATAACGAAATGTCAAAAGAAAAGTTTAGTCAATTTTGTCAAACATTAAATAAAAGGAGAGAAATTAGAAAAACAAAACAATAAGAAATACACGTCCTCTTAAGAATCAATTTAATTAATTTTTAAAGTCAAGTAATTAGACTAGATCAACTCAATATTTTACAATTAAATTTAAATATTCAAATGATACGAAAAATATAACTTTATTCATGACAATTTGATGAAAAATATATTTTAAATATTGATCAAAATTCACATAATATAACTTTCGAAAAATGAAACATGATAACTAATACGGAACAGAGAAAATTTATACATACTCCCCTATTCAAATATGTGTGACACATTTTCCTTTAATGTTTAGAAAGTGACATATTTTAATATTTAATAATAACAGAACTTTAAAGAGAGAAGTATTAAAAACACTCTTAAACTTGATGTAAATTATTAATACTATCCCCGAACTATTGACAGTCTTAAAAATACATCTTTATTTGACTAACGGGAGCTAAATACACCTTCAATCTTACAATATTAGTGAAATACACTCCTAAATTCTCGTAAAGTTTAAGGATATTTCAATACTTCTCTTAATTTTTACTAAGAACTCATGTTCCTATAAGAGTTTGAGACCATTTGTTATGTCATGTGACATATCGAGAGTTATCGGGATGTATCTAAGTTTAGTTAGTCAAGTAGAATGATGTTTTTAAAGCAGTCAATAGTTTCAAGCATGAAACTAATAATTTGCGCCAAATTTAGAATGTTTGTTATACTTCTCCTTAAAATAAATAATAAATATTTATAAATCATATTACATTATAAACATTTTTGAAAAGAATTATTCTCATGTTAAATCAAATACAATCACATAAATTAAAACGGAGAGAAAAAAGATATCATGTGCATGGGACACCTCTTACATACTTATATTGATTTTTCTAAAAACACAAAATCAAATGGTGGGATCCACTATGCACTGAATCCAGCCTTTGCCTTCTCAAAGAGTCACTTTCATAAACAAAGTCCCAAAGATTTGTAAAATCAAGAAAATCCTTAAGATTCTGATTTGATATCTTCATTCGTATCTCTCTTTCTCTTCTGTCAAATATTTTCCGTATCTTCTTGAAATCAACACCATATCCCCATATATATATATTCACCTCACAAACCCACAAATCACAAACACACAAATTCACAATTTCATATATTTTTCTTGCAAACAAATATAGCAAATAATGGATACTCAATTTCATGTTTTAGCTGTTGATGACAGTATTATTGATAGAAAACTCATTGAAAGACTTCTAAAGACTTCCTCTTATCAAGGTATTTTAGTGAAAACAAATTCTTTGTTCGACGAAAATCTTAGTAGCTCTGTTAATTGGCTTTTTTTCTAATGTGTTTTTATTTTATTTTTTATAACAGTTACTGTTGTGGATTCTGGAAGTAAAGCTTTGGAGTTTCTTGAAGTAAGAGAAGTGGGAGTGAATTTGATAATTACAGATTATAGCATGCCTGAAATGACTGGTTATGATTTATTGAGGAAGATTAAAGGTTCATCTTATTTGAAGGATATTCCAGTTATAATTATGTCATCAGAAAATGTTCCATCAAGAATTAATAGATGTTTGGAAGAAGGAGCTGAAGAGTTTTTTCTAAAGCCAGTTCAACAATCAGATGTTAATAGAATTAAGCCTCATTTAATGAGGGAAAAACCAAATTCTCTCAAGAGAAAAGCTATGGTAGAATGCATTTCACCTGACAAAACTAGAAAATATAGCAACAACAATTTGTGTAGCATCTTTTTGCAGAACATTTGTGAGTGATGTTTCAAGTGGATCTAAGAGGAAAGAGGGAAAATTGTTTCGGAGAAAACTGGATAACATATTCAGTGTAATCTCACAATTGAGATCTGAGAAGGGCTGCACGAATGCAAATCTTACCCTACCTCGGAGAGTGGTTGTTCTCAGGGTGTTTATATCAAACAAATGAATTCAAAGGAATTAGCGACGAATTATAAAAAAAAAATGTTGAAGATGGATGGAAAGTGATTGGATTAGCACTTTGTTGTGTTGAGAGCCATGATCTAAGTGAATCTGTAAAGTGGATTTACAATGATGTTACTGTAATCAAGCAGATCTGATCTGATTTGGGACTAATTTAGCCCTAATCATATACAATTATACATAGGACTTAGGAGTAGTACATAATTTCCTTTTTGATATTGTACACAATCTAATTCAAATCATGTGTTTAGCTTTTCTCTTTACTTGGAATTTTTTTTTTATAGCAATTGAAATTCATTATCCATAGACCTATATGTTATGTTTACTTTTTATAGATCCAATTTTATGCAATTTGAATGATTTGTTTCAATTTTATTGCCTTTTGTTGAAAATAAAATTATAAATTGAATGATTATTTGAGAATTGGAAATTTGGAATCATAAAAGTAGCAATAGGTCACCCAAAGAATTGAATTCTAAAGTCCAACATCAAGAGGGCAACTACAAAATATTATTATTTTTTAAATAAAACTATACTCTAGATTAACAATTAAGCAAAGATGAAATATTTTATTTAGAGGGAATCATAACCAAACAGTCAATGATAACATAGCTTTCACCAAACAATAACAGAGCCCATGTAAAGACATGTATGTTGATAATATTTTGCTAGAAAACAATCACTTGCTGTCTAACATGTAATAGCTGTCCAAGATAATTATTGGAATTAGGAAACAATATCATTCATGTTCATAATTGATTTGCTGGACTTGTTGGTTCACCAAAAAATATTAATAATAATTAAAAAAAATCAAGGCAGACACCTATTACGAGTGTTTAAAATTTAGAAGACTTGCTGAAAAATAAAATTTGTGTCAATTTTTGGTGTTTATCGATAAATTTCAAACTTACCACAAAATTCAGCATCACAAGGCAAAAATAATTTCACCCCTGCCGCCTATATCTAGTTTAAGACAAGTTTCTTATGGAGCACACTTGAATAGCAAGTATAACTCGTAATAAATTATTTTTTGAGATACACGATGAATATTTCATAATTTGGGGTGTTAATTTACCTACTAGAATATCAATTGTTTCTATCCAATATTTCAAAATCACAATTCCATTTTGTCTAAATTGCACATTAAATCAACACCTAAAGATCTAAAGTTTGAAAAAAATAAAATTCAAATTTAGACTTCCCTGATCTAAAGTTGGTCTAGACTTGATGGTTTGTATTTAGAAATTTTAGATTCTTGATTTGAACTTTAGACATGTATGACTAAGTGGCTAAAATTTAAAACTTTATATTTTTGTACAATGGTTATTTGTGCACTCGGCCATTTAGATTGGTTCTCTAATTGGGCCTTCAGCAATTTCTAGGCTTGATTTCGGTGCGCCGGTTACCGGTTAGGCCCAAATATTGAATAGGTCACAACTCACAAGCAATTAATTTCTCTTTTTAACCTTCAATAATTGGATCAGACATACTTTACTACCATATATACTATTATTATTTATACATTCAAAATATCACGTATCTTATCACTAATTAAGTATTTTCTACCATAAATTGAAGAAAATACACTTAGATACATCAACCAGATACAAAAAATAGGGAGAGAGGCGAGCAAGATTCATATGTATCTGAAATCCCAGATACATAGGAAAGTGACAAACAAGATGGAGGAGAAGCGAGCGAGATTTGTTATGTATATACACGAATCCACTTGAATACAATATATTTAGAATAAATTATATCTAATTTTAATATCATGTATTTGAGATATATGTATCTAGAGGCACCAAAATATAAAAAAATAAAAATTTCACGGCTGCTATCTTCCATGGGGGATCTATCATGGGATTAAGAGCTCAACACGTGAAATGTTTTCCACTGTTAAAGTAACCAAACACGTGCAACCATAAATCAATTTATGATTTTCCAAGGGCCCGTTTGGATATATCATCCACCCCTCTAAGGCTCTAACTTTGTTAAGTTTAAACAAACAAACAAACGTTCCTCACAAAAAAATTGACTATTTTTGTAAGATGCTTGTTTAAATTTTTTTTTTTATTAATGATAATATATTTTTTTATAGAAAATCAAAAGTTTTAGTATCACTTGATTCTCGATATTGTAAGATAATTTAATGAAGAAAATCTTAATAGTTCAGTTGAATTACGATCTAAACACGGTAATGGTTCAATTCTATACAGGGAATTGTCCAATGATTCAATAATCCAAACGAGGCAGAGTTATTGTTGTCCAACTCATCTCTCTTCGTTCGACAAATGGCACACTATTTCTTGTACGTATAATTCACCCCTCTTTATAGTTTATACTCTCACTACTCACTCTCCCTCACCATTTTCCTTTCATTCTCAGGCGACCCATCGCTGATTTCCACTTTGTTTATCTTCATTCATTCGCCAGTGTATAAGCCAAATAACTTAAACAGTTGAGGAATTTTAAACAAAGATATAGAATGATGTCTCTTTCTCTTTCTCTTTCTTATCCTACACACCATTTTGCTTCCTACAATAAACAACTATGCGCTTCGAGATCTCCTCAATCTCATCACACTAGGATTTCTCAGCACAAATTGCAGCAAAGCTCCAGTTTTCTTGGAAATAACCCTCTCAGGTTTGTTATTTGATTGATTTGAATATATTAACCCCATTTCAATTTTGGTCTATCTTTACCATTTTCTTTGATTGGTGGGGTTCTGCAAAATCCCTTTTTGCACGTGTTTTGGGGACGTATTTCCCTAATTTTGTATCTTTTCCTCATGGGGTTTTCACTGTTTGTTTTTCTTTCTTTTACAGAGTTCCAATTGATCTAAGTGGAGAGAAGATGAAGAGACGTGGAGGAGTGGTTTGTTCTGCTGCTGCTCTTGCTCCTAGAAATCTGCAGTGGGTCTGTACTATTTCCTCTGTGTAAGTCTCCTTTACTTCATTGCGCTTACTGGAGTTGGTACCAAGTTTGCTTTATCGTTTGCTGGTAAAATGGGCCATCTAAAGATTTGATTTTTCTTTTCCATTTTGACCAAGTGAAATTAGGAGTGGTATAAATCTAGTAATTTACTCCCAATGGTGTGGTATGAAACTTTTTTTAGCACAGTTTTTTTTTTTTTTTTTTGGAACAAGATGGGAGTGACTTCGGTGGAAGACAAGATTTGGGAAGCAAAGTTGAGATAGTTTGGGCATGTGATGAATAGATGCACGGATAGCAAGTGTGGAGGTGTGAGCGGTTGTCTGGATGGGTTTATGAGAGGTAGAGATAGACCAAAAAAATATTGGAGAGATATGATTAGATAGGACATGACGAAGTTGGAGTTCACCGAGGACATGAGATAGGAGGTGTGGGGGACACGGTTAGGGTAGAAGGGTAGTAGGTAGGAGTGTATGGACTTGTTGTCCATTCTAGTGGTCGTAGTATTACTCTTGTTTCTTGTTCTTCAATTTCTGTTATTATATGTTGTTTCGTGTAATTATAACATTATTTTGTTGTAGTATTGTTCTGCTACAATCTGTGTTTTATTATTGTCTGTAGTTTCTTTTATTTCCATTAGTTCTTTTTTCTAGACTGTTTTTATCTTGACACGGGGTCTACCTCTGAGGTAGAGGTCAGGTCTGCTTACACTCTACCCTCCCCAGACTCTAATTTGTGAGACTACGCTCGGTCTTGTTTTTTTTTTTATGACAAGGGAAACCCGCAGCCGCTATCCTTTGGGTGCGCACAGGGTAAAACCCCCGCTCCTATGCAATAGCTCACAAACCACCTAGGAGAGGTAACCCGCACTAGGCAAGCCCGGTGCGATGAGCTCGTCCCAGAAGGCAAACCCCTTGCTTTCGCTGGCAAGGGATTTCGAACTTGAGACCTCCAACATGGAAGTCCCAAGCCCAAACCACTGGGCCACCCCGAAGGGTACTACACTCGGTATTGTTCAGACAGTTGAGTGGAACTCTAAGTTCACTTAGGTAAATGAAGCCTTTGTTTTTTGTATGAGCAAATACCTTATTAGAGTTCCAGCACCAATGAGAACCTTGTAGACAAAATAAATATACAAAGTTAAACTCTTATTTTAAAGTTGTAGGGAGCATATGAAGTCCATCAAAGCATTTACATTATTCAAACTACACCAAACATCAAGATGTAAAATGTGATTAGCTAGAGAAACTCCCTTAAAACACCTCCAGTTCCATTCCCTCAATAAGGGCCAATACAATGCATTATGGAATGTAACAAACCTTTCGCAGAGAGTTCTGTGGCTTTCTTCCCGTTCAACTACAATATGTATCTCTAAAGAATTCGGCATTACCATTGGATCCCAGGTAAATTTACAAACATATTCTGTATGTCAGTAGTCACCTCAGACTGTAGGAAAAGGAGATTCTGTCCTACATATCCTTCTCTCACATTTATCACCTATTTGACAAATCCGTTTCTCTCTTCTCAGGTGTGACACATGCATCATTTTGTGCTGTCCAATTAAAACAAGATACTTTTAGAGGAACCTTATTTTTTCAAATTAATTGCCAAGACTCATCCCTCTGGTTTATATATAGTAACACCTGTATATAGTAAACCTCTTTTGTGTGTCACTAACTCTTCCTTTTCAATTATCCTGTTTTCTCAGTTCAGTTGTCAGCAACAAGGTAACCTCTCCAATGTCCAGTCTTGTCTCTCCTATTGATGTTATCCCACCTATTATTTTCTTGACAATAGGTAATTATGCATTAGGTCGTGATCTGAAGCTGGATACGTTTGACATACCTCCTCACAAGGGATGTGACTAAACCAGTATTCCTACCAAAAATTGATCTTCACACCATTTCCCAATTCAACGTAAACATGTTGACTCTGGATTCTTCTCACAGGTTTCTAATATGCACCAATGATCATGTTGATAATATTTCCATCCATATGATTTTAGGTCTATTTGGTGTCCTTTTAACCCCTTAAATCATCACATGATGGCACATGTTGACCTGTGCAGGATGTGGCGAAACCATCTCATTTGACTTACTCTCATTTTATCCTCGTGTTCAACTTGGACTTCCAAAGTTTCCAGATTACTTGATGATTAAGGGCCACTTACAGGCTAATATACAGGCTTGATCGTAAAGAGCTAAGGTGTATAAGGAAAACAGGTTGCTGGTAGCACCACTCGTTAGAATTTAGAAACATCAACCAGGAGAGAGCATTGGCCCTTGGCATTGACACATTAGTTTTGTTTGCCACACACTCTATCGTTAAGGCTTGAGTTAATCCAACACTGTACAGATAGAAAAGATAAAAAGAGTGGGACATGTCCGGAAGTCTTTTTTTTTTTTTATAGATTGTACACTTGTTCCCGTCATGTAACATTAGTTAATATCATTTTTAGGGATTTACTGTTTGCTTTCTCTTTTTTCTTGTGTCTGACCACATTAATTTCTTTGTTACAAGTGTGTAGAATCTTAGAAAGATTCAAAGTCTATGCCCTTGTTTTATAAGTCTTGTATAATTTCTGGTGAATAAACTATCTCTTTTTTTCTTTTAAAGTAAACCTTGTTCTGCATGCTGTACCATGATTTGTATATTGCAATCTCACAGTCAAATGGTTATTTTTAGGGTTCTCATGCTTGCGAAGGGCACTGCTATTCACAAGTCTTTTCTTGTTCCTTTATTTGCTTTACAAGCTCCTACGGCAGTTGTCTCGTGGATCCAGTAAGTCTATTAGCATCTGTGAAGTAGCTTGTGCTTACTTCATTAAGCTGAATGTTTTTGCAGTACAGCAAACTGACGATAAATGACTTTCAGGGGTGAATATGGCATTTGGTCGGCATTTTTGGCACTTCTTGTTCGTCTCTTCTTCTCCTTTCCTGGTTGGTTCCTTTATCATGTGTCTATGGTTTAAACCTCAAATCTTGAAAATTGACAACCTTGTCTTTTGCTTTCTGTATTTTGTATGTTGTCGGATAGCATTATCCAGCCAATATTCCCTCAGGAAGCAGGCTATTGAATTGTACCCAATAATTTCCTGGTTCTATTTTAAGGTGGAAATCTCTGCCAATGTTTGGGTAGGAAGTAAGAGAATATGCCCAACTTTTGTATGTTTACAACCCTTAGTGAGTTTAACATTATAAAGTCATAGTGGGAAGCAGAATATGTATTCATGCTGCTTAGCAAAAAATTGTGAATGGACATAATTGAAAGTTTGACCCTGTTCTATGTTATCAAAGATGATAAGGAGATCATTGTCTAAGGTTGTAGTCAAGGGTTTAGCTACTCATTTTCTTTGGACGCTGTTATGTTTTTAGCTACTACATTCAAATCATTTAGATGATTTTCTTTGAAATATCTGACTTTGGTCTTGATCATTTGTAGGTGAACTTGAATTGCCATTTATAGCATTATTGATGGTAATTGTGGCTCCTTATCAAGTTGCAAACCTAAGGTTGGTATATCCTTCTCTATAAATGTTACTTGTTCTGATAGACTAGAGTTATATCTGGTTCATATTGCTCTTGGCAGGGGGACAAAGGAAGGTGTCATTCTTTCCTTGGCAATAGCAGCTTATCTGGGTTTCCAGCATTTCACACGTGCTGGCAGCTTGCAGAAGGCGTTTGATCAGGGTTCAATTATTGCCACCCTAGCCATCATTTGTATTATTGCTGTGCCATGCTTGCTCTTGATTTGATGTTAAACTACAGTGATTTCTCAAAGGAGTCCTGTAAATTATTTGAGTCATTTGAGGGTTGGAGATCACACAAATAAATATCTTTCTTTAAATTCCTCGTGTAAATTTCTAGCTGTTTATCCAGTCAAGTTTTTGGGACAAATTAAGGTGAATGTATTTATACAGGAATAAATTGGATGAACAAGCTTCCATTAATATCTTATTAATTTCTATACTTTGGGCAACATCTGGTGCTACTTATCAACGAAACAAAATGATTCTTATTTTGGGTTTTTCCATTGATGTAAAGAAAGAAAAAGTGTTTCTTTGGGCTATCGCAAGGAATGAGTTTGCAAATTCCAGTGGTTCCTCCAAAAGATAAATAACCTCCTTCCAGATTCTACTTGAAATGTAAAAGCGTAAAAATTTACAAAGGGAGTAACTGCTTTTTGCTTAAGCACAGGGTTGGCACCACTACCATGCAGGTCAGACCTGCACGTATTTTTGTACGTTCATGTTTCTTGAAGAGTGAGTGGGGCTTGCAGAGCATGTTTGCTCAATTGAAGTCTTCACATTTTTACAATTTTTTTATTTCTAACATGAGTTAACATTCTTCTGGAGTAGTTCAAATATTCTAATTCAATTATGTTATCTCTATAATGTTGTTGTATAAAGAAAGAACTCTGTCTTGTTCCTTTTGTTTCTGATAATGTTAAGTAGTGACTGCTGCGAGGAAGAAAAAAGCAAACGCATAACAAAAAAGAGGTCTAAGTTTCAAATGATTCTTCAAAACTTAGTTGTGTTTTTGCAATTTATGTAGTGAGCTACTGTGTTCTCTGTATCTTGGAAGTGGCATACCTCATATGCCATAGTTTGGAGGATAAATGGTAGATCTTATTAGTCTCCTGTTGATGGGTCACTTCCTGGATTTTGTACATGACTCTTCATTGAAATTCCTAAAATGAGATATCGTGTCTAAAGTATTTATTAACTGCAGAAATATTTTAATAGAAATTGGCTACATTAAGATGTTCTTCACTACGTACTGACTTCCTACTTGGGCTAAAAGCCATAAATGGACGAAGTACAGCAAGTTTCATGTGTTGAATGCCATGAGATTTTCACATCTCATGATGATTATGCTGTTTAGAAGCAATGGGAGTATGGAGACAACTAGTGTCTTCTTGCAACCCCTGTGAACAATGTCTTGCCCAATCTGTTTAGAATTGAATTGCTGTAACTGCCACCAGGAAAGAGGCCATGGCGAAGAGAAACTGGAAGTTGCTTGATAAATTATCTGCTCCACTTGGGGTACCTGTTGGTTCTGCACCATAATCTGTTGGTTCAGAACCAAAACCATTCGGGCCACCTGGGGTGTATGGATTTACGGGCGTCATAGTGCTGCAATTCCAAGGAATCAGACAAACATCTTTACATTTCTTGGTTAGGAGATAATTTAAAACTCAAATAATTTCAGATGGTTTATACCTTGGAGTTGGAGGTGGCAGAGAAGGAGGTGGCAGGGTAGGGGGTGGCTGTGCAGGTGGTGTGGTAGGGGTTGATTTTGATGATGCATAGTGACAGTTCCCAGAGCCTGCAGTAATGAAAGAAAATTAGAAGCTTTGCTAACTTTTCTGGATTAGCAGATTAAAGAACTACTTATATGTGATGTTTAGCAGTTTTAGTGCTGCAGTCTTGTACTTACTTGGGTCAGTATTAGTAAGCTGTGCTGTTCCTCCAAAATCACAGCTTGTGGGTGCTGGATTCTTTTGGTAGTAGTCATTGAAAGCATAGGAAGCATGGTCTTTAATTGTGTTTGGTTCGTAGCAGCTTCCACCAGACTGAATAGTTGAACAATCTGCACCTCCAAAGCCACATGCATAGTCCAGTGCTACTTGCAGAGCAGTTGTTGAAGCAGTGGAGCTGGCTACACACCAAGTCCCCCCAGTAGATGGCCCCGGATTGTTGCTTGGGTTTGGGTTTGGGTTAGGATTAGGATTTGGGTTAGGATTAGGATTTGGGTTCGGGTTAGGATTAGGATTTGGGTTTGGGTTAGGATTCATGAATGGACTAGGGTTCGTGATAGGCTGTGTGGTAGATGGTGGTGGTGGACTATCCATCGTGGGGTCTGGATATGTCGTACCTGGGGTTGTTGGATTAATAATGGGAACATCTAGCTGGTCAGAATACATGGAAGGTGAAATGGCAATGTCCTCCTCTTGGAATGCAAGTTTTTTGCTTTTCCTGATGGCTTCTGTGGGATGCTTGTCTGCAATGCTTGTACCTGAAGTAAGTGTAAATACCAGATAGGTGTCAGTTTCTTCTTTCTTTATTCTTTAGATTCTGCATGTTGAAAGAATTAGTAGTATATCACAAGGTTGTTTCATATTTGATTCCATATCACATTCTTGAACCAAGAACTTGTTGTTCTTAGCAGTTGTATTATCTTCAGAAAAATGGAGCTTCATAAGAACTACTTTTTATGTTTGAAATTTCTTGGAGAAAGGCAAACTCCTTTGAGTAAGCTTTTCTATTAGAATATATATTGTCAAAACTTGTAAATTGTCATTCAGTAGCCTATATCTGTGCAAAAATTTGACTTGTGAAATCATCAAAATTATTTGTATGTCCATAATCCAAATTGATTAAATTGAAATGTTTCACATAAATTTAAAACTTACAACAGTGCATGCATGCAAGAGAACATTGAGATGGTAAAACAAATGAATTCAAATGAGGTGCAAAGGAGCTGTACAAAATTGAATAGTTCATTCAATAAATGTATATTCCTCTATTCAGCTCAACATAATCTCATGTATAAATTATCTCCCAAATTAGTTTGCCATCAATTGCAAACTTCAATTTTTTCAATGGAAATATCGAAAACTAGCAAACCAACGGTTGCAACATATCGAAATATCTATAGTCCAACGGAAGACTATAATGGAAGGATCAAAAGCCAAGAAATGGTAGAAATATCACTTAAAATTTACCATAGTTAAAGATTATGTATAGCATTTCGAAACATTATAAAATAAAAAGGGGCAACATAGTGATATTCACCTGAAAAAATCAAGAGGCAAAAGAGGAAACAGCAAGAAATTCTCATAGCTACTTGTTCAATAGATTTTCTATACTTGTTGTTTTCTATGAGAGAGTTTGTTTGCGATGAGAATAATAGTAGTTTTCTCAAAGAAGAGAAGCACTAGAAATGTAAGCTGTGAAGAGGAAGCAATCATTTGTTGCTGCATGTAATGTATATATATAATTTTATGATAAAGTTAAGGAGGAACAGAATCGTAGCTTTCTTGCATTAGAGTACAGGTTTATTGAGTTTTAATTTAGAGGAATATAAGAAAACTTGAGAAATGAGGCATGAGGTAGCTAGAAACTGCAAGCAATTGGAGGTGCCTCAATAACAAAAGGTTATTGCCTCAATAAGGCAAAAGCCAACAAAAGCTAATCTAGTTTTGGATGAAATTCTAAAGTTGTATGTTTGGACACCACTCTATGTTGTTGTTTTTTATAACCGTAGTGTACGAGTTAGCTAACACGCACCTCGACTAATCCCACCAGATTTGAAATTGTAACCTCATAATCCTCAAATACACTCCATTAGCCACTTAGGTGTAGAACACCACTATGTAGTTACTAGATTGTGTAATTACTATCAGAACAGTAAATTCAAAGATACAACATAGTGTTTCGTTATACAAGTGGTAATTACATAATTAGATTTTAAAAAAAAATATTACACAACAATATGGTGGTAGAGTTTGTTACAATTTTCTTCCTCTTTTTTTTCTGTCTACCTTTTCACTGTTATGCAATACCTCGAGAGGTAAAGTAACAAGGAGAAGGAGAAAATGACAGGTTTTTGTAGTTTAGTATTGCTTTACATTTTATGCTCTGAGGGTAAAAAGCTATGGTATATCTTGCCAAATTTTCCTTTGCCTGTTGAATATTTGACAATCTTATGAAGTGTATAGATTCAAACTGTCTAAAGAAAAGCCTATAGAAACTACTACTATGAGACAATGCTTACCTTTTCATCGTTTCTATTGTATTAATAATTGCATTTTGATACCATACTTCATAATAGCAGCCTAATCAAGATTTCTACTACATAATAGAGTCATGTCTACACTTTACATCATCAAAAATCATATCTTGTTCACATGGCCACAAAAAAAACATCAAAAAGGAGAAATTAAGGTAACTTCAACTTTACCTTTTCTGGCCCCTGTCCCTTTCCTCAGGTGTTAAAAACTTTTGAAGTTTAATCTTAGCCCCAAATAATCCCTGGCCTAGAGATGAACTTTTTTCAAATAATACTTAAAATTCTGGAGACACAACTCAGCAGGCAAATGAACTGATTGTGGTATTGTCTTTCTACCAAAAAATAACAGTGGGCTAGGTGGCACTTGAAGTGACTACTATGAGAATTTGTGCAACCAGATGTTCATACAAAAGTACACCTCATTAGGGAACATCTAAGACAACTGTGTTTTTTAATTCCCAAAACATCTATTTATTCTAAAAGTTCGTCTTCATATAATCTCGTCAATCCACCTACAGAGTGAGAGGGAGGAGTGAGGAACAATTTGATCCCCTGTGAAGTTTCAAACTCCAGCCGAATAGGAATTTCCTCTGTTATCAAAATGAGGCACAAATCCCATCATAGAATTGATTTACATTTACTGAAAATGTGTATACAATATGAACTGTTGGTTGTATCAGGTAAATTGCTAGTTATTTATGTACACACCTTGTGCTACTATCATCCATAGGCACCTGCTATCAGTAAGATAAATACAATGACACAACTCAGCTGGTTCTGGCTACTAATTTCATCATCCAGTGGCCAGTTCTGCATCTTGATAGATTAAAGTTGCTGATATTGATCTGATTTGTTCTTCAAGATGATGCCTAGGCAATAGAAGAGTATGCATTATGTACTTTGTTTCTTCCTGGTGATGTTCAGGCAAAGGGTGAAGCTAAACGACTGTGAAGGTTAACATCTGTTAATATCATATCAAACTGAGTGTTGCACGACCGAAGGACTACCCCAAGTTATTCATCCGTCATGATGAAGAATCAGAATGACACTGAAAGGAAAACGAGCGAGCTGTATGTGACAGAAAGAGCCATGATAAGAAACCATAAGTTAATAAAGAAACAAGAAGAAGAAAATAGAAACCCTTGCCTTATCCATCTTGTTGTTTGTGGCACTTTGACAAATGATTGTTGACTTCATTCCAAGCTGCAAATATTATTTAGTTTTATATTCAGAGAAACAGAATGCTGTTGACACATGTAATGATGTAAATAGGAGCCTCTTACCAGGAAAATTCCTGAAATCTGGTTCAACTCCATTGCCATTAATATCCATGTGATTTGGTGTGACATACTTCCCAATTGTTACAACCACGCCCGACCCATCGGGCAGCTCGAATACAGACTGAATCAGCCCCTGAAATGATGTTAAGAATACAGTGATGTTGTCCCTCAGAAAGAAGACCAGCAAACCTACCATCCCATACACCAAAATTTTCTAGCTACCAAGTACCAATATAAAGATTTAGTTGGCTTCAGATCAATTTTCAAGCTACTCCAACTTCACAGAGAAAGGTCATATGCACCAACTCCATGGAACTACTCCCAACAACTAAAACAACATAATTCAAAATAATTGATCACAAAGTATGTATCTTTGAAGTTTGAAATGGTCCCCCTTGGGATCTAGTTACCTAAAGAATAGTGTTTCTTCCTACACTTCCCCTTGACTTGTGTAATCGTATGCATCTCAGCACAACTCAACACTTCTCAAAAATAGCTACTGCAATGGTTGTAGCAATTGCTAGGAACACGTGTTTAGAAATAAAGTAGTCTTAAAGGAGCTGCAACAGAAATGCTGCAGATCAGGAACAGAAAGGAGTTGAGAGCCCCTACTCAGCCGCTCCTCTGTTCTTACGTGTGCCCCTCTTCAGAACAAATGAATATTTTAATCATTACTAATGCTAACTGTTTTTCCCTTTGACTGCTAATTACACTGGCCATAATAGAGGTTTATCAGTCCTCGCAACAACAAATAGTGGTAGCAGATTAGTTAAGGATTCATTTAGATCCCCTTTACATAAGCAGGACTATAGCACCAGGAAACCATCAAGAAGATAAATTTTTAGGTTGGTAGTTAGGGAAAAGATTTCAACTGGTAGACATAATTGATTCTGTTCAGACGATTCAGAAAGCATTGGTTATTTCATTGAAACAAATGATTTGATTACTTTTTCTCTAAAATGAATGAATTGGCAAATATCAAGCAATCATAATTTGCCTCTGGGCATGAAGTCAATGTAAAAAGAGATGACTTAATTAGGGGCATAGTTAGCTCAGTCTAGACAAATAGCTTTTATCTTCATCTTGGTAGCATAAAAAATCATAACCAACGGAATATGCCACAGTTGACAATGAAATCTAGAGGTTGCAAAGTGGGTATGCGGGTCTTAAATGGATTGCACGAAAGGTTGTCGCAGCCTCATGTGCATTAGTTGTTCAACTATTATTTTTGGCCTCGGGCCAGTACAGTTAGCCTCATCCCACAAATTCCCAAGTCCCATGCATATTCAATGTATTCTACCGTGCTATTTTGTCAATGATAGAGAATTAACAAAAGTGAGTCTATATCAAGATTTTGTAACGTTTTGAGGCCTGGCAAATGAAATGAAATAATGCAAAAGCAGAAAGTAGGTTAAGAAAAGAGTGATGGTAAAGGTTCACATCCAATCAGGTCATCAGAATATGAGTGTACACTGCACAGCATTTTGAATTTTTGATCATGGTAATGAAACATTAAGAAATTTCTTTAGTTCTACTTATGCATGTAGATGATTGTAAACACTTTCTGGGGGAAATAAAGCAGCCCCACAACTGGATATGCTCTCTCTAGTATACTGCTAACAATTTAGGATTGAGTAGTTGATAAATATAGTACACCGTTGAGACATTGAGAAAAGTTACTTTATAACTTATAGAGATGTGCGTAATACTAACTAGTATGCCAATAAAGAAGTTCAAACATTGAAAAGAGAAACCAAAGTAACTAGAAATTCAGACCTTGCCATATGTCTTATCTCCCACGAGAACAGCTCTGCAATTGTCGTGAAGTGCAGTTGCAACCTGAAATGAAATTCATAAATTAGAACACAAATATTTCAGCCCTTCAAGAACTAGTATGGCAATGTAGTGTTAGTAGCTCACAATTTCACTAGCACTTGCAGTACTTTTGTTAACCAAAACCTGCATTGGAAGTTACTAAATCCATCAGAGTGGTAAAGACAAATAGTAACTTTTGAGAACTAGAAGAGAAAAGAACATCTTCTTGAATTTGCAACAATAACCAAAGTCTCTCTATGATTCTACAGTCAAGAAACTGTAAGCTCAAAATCAAATTGTTTGATCTTATATCAGCTGTTTATTTCATTTATCCATTGCTATTAGCAACTTCAGCTAATTTAAGGAACCTACTCGTTAAGTTTCAGCCATGCATTATCTTATGATTCTATAATCAGGAAACGTTAGCACAAACCACCAAAACGTTATATATGATTACCTGTTTATTTCATTTATCCATTTCTCTTACCAACCTCAACAAATTAAAGGCATCAAATATTAAAGTTTGTGACAGCTTCAAGCAAAAACTCAAGCTAATGCTGAAGCATGACATATAACCGGACTAAAAGTCAATATCTAACACTTCTTAGACTTATACGGTAAAACTGCAAACTTTGAATATGTCAGTGGTCAATATACCTTAAAGAAATTGGGTCAGCATGTGGTTTAATTCGATGCAAAGCGAAATCAGAAACAAACTTTGCCTTACATCTACAATCCACTTGACCGTAAAAGCTCAAGGGTTTTTGCTCAAAGTGAAGTCTGCTTCATTTTGACAGCGGAAGTTTCCAAGTTTCTCATTCAGAATGAAACTAATGGAATTGTTCATTCAAAAAAAAAAGAGGGAAAATATGTAATTTGAAGAAAGTTTTGATGGATTCTTCTATTTCACAAGTGATATCACCAAATGGCTTGTAACAATGACAAGAAAAATATGCAATTGAAAGAAAATATTGAAGAATTCTGCTGTTTTAGAGTTGACATCTGAGATGTGGACTCTTATATGCCTTACAATTACTGGAGCTGTAATAAGAGGTGGAGCTTCTGCAACAATATTCCTTGTATATTGTGGATCCCTTCCAACAGTGTAAATCACCTGCCAATATATATATTTCAGAAGAAAAGCTTCTTACTGAACAGTAAGCATTTAAGGCTGATAATCAAGAATAACCAAATCACAGAACAGCTAATGCTCCATATAGAAGATGCAAGTATGACTACCGTGTCTCCTTCATTCAGAAAGAGTTTTGCGATTTCAATGCCAGCCTGAAAGGCAAAAATTCACCGCTTGTTAAACAAGTAACCTGTCAAGCTCGACCAAATCAAATAAAGGGGGTAAAGGAAAACCTGCACTAGTCCACCAAGGTTATCTCTGAGATCAAGAACAAAAGATGAGGCACCCATGCCTTCGAGTCGCTTAATTGCTGCAGAAAGTTTTGGCAATCTCAGAAACAGACTACACACAGAAAGCTAATACACATTAGGTTGCTGAAACTGAAAGAGTTCAGACCATGTCTCAGGTGTAAGATCTCCGGAATGGACAATACTTTTAGCAAATCAGACTATACATTTTAAATGCCAACACAAAAATTATCCAGAATACAATAATACACGATCTCTTGGCATTTCATTAGATATTAAGGTCTTAATGAATAGATATTATAACATGTAATGCAGTTCAACTGAAGATGTTATATCCCGATGGTTCGACGGTGTTGAGAGCTACAAAATGCAATTATAGTCATCATAGAGTGGTTCCAACTGCCAAGAGACATGCAAAACCTCTTAACCAGGCATGGACGTCTTAAATTTTGTGCTTCCACTTAATATCTGCGGAGCTTGGTTCAGTTTATCTGACAGAGCCATTAGCTAAATCAAAACCCTCTAGTGAAATAAAACTGTATTTCCTTTCATATTTTATATCCCCCATCTAATGTTTACTTCTGGTGTCAGCATCTTCGCATCTGTCATCTCCCGTTATTCTAGAAAGAGTTGTCCTCATAATGTTACACTCTTTACAAGAAAGTTAAGGTAAAAAGTAGCTTTAGTTTCTCTGCTGAAGTTCTTTAGTAGCACTTAAACTAGTAACATCTTTCAGTTATTTTATTCAACATAGGGCTGCATATAGAACAGATACGTACCGGTAACCAAATCTTTTCTGGCCAACGCATTGAACTCCTTTAGGCGCACATAACCAACAGAAGTAGAGCCATTTTCAATCTGCTCCAGCCGATAAAAAACCGGTGTCTTAGCAATAGATTGCCTCTCCACATCAATGGACTGGACAGGTCCACAATTTCCATGCTTAACCTGCAACCACATCATGAGAATCAGCATGAAGATGTCATTGAACAATAGACCTATTGAGGTCCGGCAGTGTTCAGAAACACAACCATGATGTTCACAGATGTCCCATTTGGGCCTAGTAACAGTGAAGATGCTTCAAAGGAAGATTTACCCAGCACATCCACCCCATTCACAGATATCAGTTCATCTCCCTGCCACGAGTTCACATGAAAGATACATGTTAATTTTTCACTGAATGCCTGAATGGTAAATCAAACTAGAATAGGGAAAACTGAAGTGAACCCAGATACTTTCAGTGGGGAGAGAGAATGTAAAGAAGTAGTATGTGCTAATATTATACTCAATTGCAACCAAAATACCACATGTTCATGCAACAACAACATACCCAATGAATCCCTACCCTGTGAAGGTAGAGAGGTTGTTTCCGATAAGACCCTCGTCTCAAGTAAAGCATTTCAAAATAACACATCTTCATGCGGTCTGCATATTTAGCTATGGAAAAATTCCATCACTTAAAATATATTATAAGCCATCAAGCAGTACAAGACACCTATCAAACTAACAGGCAAGGCCCCAAGTATGTGTGGTGACTGGTGAGAAGGACTGGACACCTTGAGGGAAAATCATATTGAATCAGAGGCCATTAGTTTGCCAGTTTAAAGCTTATCTCTCCTTTTTCAATTGTATTCATAAATAACCAAGACACACTCCCTGCTGTTGGCATTATCAAGTAATCATGACTACAATGACCGAGATATTTAGCATTTCATCAACAGGGAAAAGAAAAGAACCACTGCATAAAGCTAAGCAAAATAAATACTGGAAGTGCTTTTGTTAGTAAATGACTGTAAATGACATACCTGTCGTACACCGGCATTATGGGCAGGGCCATCCAATAGGAGCCCTAAAACCTTCAGTTTTGAACCTCCATTGCCATCTGGAACATCCCTGAGGTTAACTCCAATCCCAGTCATATCATATATAGCCATCTTGGAGAACTTTCAATGACAAGCAGTACATGTCATGGAACAAGAACACTGGAAAGTTTGTGAGTAAGACGTTTATTTGAATAAGGAAAATGCAAGATACACTGAAAAAGAAGGAATCAATAGAAATCATATATCTCATGACTTATGATACAATACCCATGCTTGACTGAAAGTAGAGAAGTACTAAAAATCGTCTCTAGCACATATGGCTTCATCAATTTGTGTTTCATCCAATTAAAAAAATGGAAGGATGATAATGCAGGAGGATGAGATGAACGATTGGTACAGATTCAAGATGGTTAATAATACAAACATATATTGGAATCATAAAAAGAGAAGGTGTGAACTAAAAATCGTCTCTAGCACATATGGCATCATCAATTTGTGTTTCATCCAATTAAAAAGAAATGGAAGGATGATAATGCAGGAGGATGAGATGAACGATCGGTACAGATTCAGGACGGTTAATAATACAAACATATATTGGAATCATAAAAAGAGAAGGTGTGAACATAATGTAAAGCAGTAAAGGAACTTCAAATCACTAATGCTAACGAAGAAGTGTTGAACCTCTTCCAAACTTCCCTAATAAATTTATTTCAACCTATAAATGAAAGAATACATCCAATTGCTTTACTCTTTGCAATATTAAACTCGGAAATAAAATTTCTAGTCCTATGTAACAACCCAAACCAAAAAAGTTTTGTATTCCCATGTGGTAGACATCCTGCTTTCCTCTAAAAATTGTATGCTAATTTAAACATACATATCAAATTCAACAATACAGACGTAAATATATGTGTAAAGAGGACTTATTACCTGTTCAGGAGAAAGAAACCGTGTATAGGGGTCACCCAAGCTAGCCAACATACGCTTGATGATATCATGTGCTTTTGACCTTGTCTGAATTGATGAACTTAAGATGTCATCTTTCTTTTGCTGGTAATAACACAGAAAACGAAATATTTAGTCATGTATACTTCTAAGTTGATATCAAGACAAAGAATATGATAGGGTGAGCAATGATCTAGGTAGGATGAAGAAAAGGCAAGAAACCAGGGAGAAAAAAGATGTCAGTAGAGACATAAAAAGCTCAGATCTTTTTGAAAAGACATGACGTTGTGCTAGCAAATTGCTTCCACTGGTTCATTTATCACATTTTATCCACATTAGACATGCTGAGCAACAAAATTAGAAATTTTTCACCATACGCTTTACTGCATCAGACTTACTGAGCAGTTAAGTGAAAGACTTATATTCCGCCACTATTACTACATATCCTAGTTAAGTGCACTATCTACAATAGAAAGAAACTAAAATCTCTTCAGTATTATAAAATATTTGACATTATATTCAGTCATTAATTTTCAAGAGTCCGACTACTAATTAATCTAAATTCAAACACTACATGATGTTTTCCTTGTTAAACTAAACATCACCTAAAGTCCATGCCTCCAACAATTAATTTGACATTTTCTACTTCAATGTTCTTAGAAATATAATTTGTTATTCCTCCAAATCCAGAAAATCATATGGCTTTAATGATGATACGAATATTTTTGATGAAGTAGTTGATTTCACTCAAGGCATCAAGCAGATGCAAATAGTACAAAAGAGATTGAGAACAGAAGTGAGCTTGTTAGATCCATTACAGTGAGCCCTACACTAAAGATAAGGAGCTAACACAATCCAAAAAGAATTCCTGTTATTTTGCGAAATATATTTACATTCCTGCCCCACCAACAAAGCTAATTAGCATTTTCAGGGAACATTTCAATATGGATCTTAACCTCCAGCCCCCACCAAATTGCTAAGAGCATCTCTTTCGTCATGTTGGATGAGAATTTTCCGGTAGAAGATTTTAAAGCCATAAAAGAAATTCCAATATACATATAGAATGAAATTAAATATATTCTCCTAGTAATAGTATACTAAATATGTTCCAAGTATGTATTTTACAAGCTAAGTTAGATGATCTAAGCACACCATCAAATTCAATGCCCCTTAAGCTAAAAGAAGGAATAGTTCCATATTTAGAATGAAATAGAGCATATTCTCTGGCAGCAGAATACGAAACAATCAACCAGATATGAGATACCTCTCAATAATTGATATGCAAGAGAACCCTTCAGCTAAAAGGAAAAAAAGATTCTACACTTGGAACGGAATAGTGCATATTTTCAGCAAAATACCAAACAATAATTGATATGCAAGAAAACCCCTTCAGCTAAAAAGGAAAAAAATAAGCTACAATTAGAATGAAATAGAGCATATTCTCTGGTAGCAAAATACCAAACAATCAATGAGATAGCTATCGAGAATTGATATGCAAAAGAACCCCTTTAGCTCAAAAAAGTTAAATTTTCTTCTTTTTAGAGAGAAACAACATCTTACAAGCCAAGATTCAGGAGACCAAGAACGACGATCGCTGGTGTTAAGAAAGCTGTCATTAACAATCTGCCAAGCTTCTTCCACAATGCTTTCATTGCTCACCACTTTGGATACTTCAGTATCTTTCACATACACCTCATCCGCCTCGTTCTCTCGGCAAATCACCTCCAAAGATGAGTTAGAAGATTGCAGTGAAGGAGATTCCAAAGCGATAGAAACAGGAGCAGAAACAAGAAGCCCCAAAGAAAGAACAAATGAAACCCCAGTAGAGAGAAGTTGCTGAAGGGGTTTATGATGAGAGATGAAAGATGATTTTTTGGGAAGAATTGAAGCTTTGATTGGTGAAAAAGAGGTTAACAATGGTGGAGATGGTGAAGGTAAGGGGTTGTGGAGGAGCCTCATCTTCAGAATGAAGTATCTTTTCCTCCAACAAACTAATTTTAAGAATTAGATAATCCAATTCAAATTTGAAGAATTAAAAACTATTAACAGGCCACTTGTCTCGGATTCGAGCCAGGACATGAAGAAAATCTTGTTGAGAGTGTTTTTATCGAGTGTGCTTTACATGACGCGATTCAATGTGAGATCTGAACATTGGATGAAAAATAAAATATATATTGAATAGATCCTCCGCTCAAAAATTAAGTAGAAATAGAAAAAAAACAAAAACAATTATACTGAACATAGTAGAAAATAGAACATCAACAATGTATTATACGATAATAAAAGGAAAATATAACAAATAATAATAAAATTGAACGACAAAATAGCTTTTGAGTAACAATAACAATAATGATAAAGTAAATATTGTACATCCGACTACATACAAAACATGTTAAGTTCATAGTAACCAATAACAAATGACATGTGATTCGAATAAGTTACATCCCTTAAACTAAGAAGCGAAGAAAAAGATAAAAAGACATAATAATAATATTATAGCTAAATAAGAGATAACTTGTTTTTATTTTCATCAAAAAATATAAGACAATATTTATTACAAATAATATGTTTGATACTTAAATAACATTTTTTAACTCAAGCTCCATCCATACCTCAAAACAAACATCGAAAAGAAATCAAAAGAACACCTTTGCATGAAAACAAAAGGAATTATTGACCATCAATGATGGTAGATTGGTAGTGGAGTGGTAAGTACTTCTTCATCTTTACTAAGATGTTTCGGATTTGAGTTCCCTTAGATACAAAGTCACTTTTATTAGAAAACACTTTAATCGAGCTCTAGTGTGAATACCGGACATCAGAGGAAACAAAGGAATATCATGTGCAGGTTTGTCCAAGTGCTTACCCCAGCTGATAACATTCTGTATATAGGCCCATTATATATGTTAGACTCTAGTCAAAGTTCGGAGCCCAAAATGGAAACTCTACTTTCTAGTGGGCCATTGGCCCATTGAGAATAAGCCTTTTTACCCAACACGTCATCTTCTTTACCAAAATTTGCCTGCTAAATTGGAATTTTGGACCAACCAATCACTGACTTTTGATTAAAAAAACATTATGGATAAACATCGTTTTGGTAATTCGATTCCAATACTCTCACCACTAGGCGCGTGAATTACACGCAATGTAATTCAAAGGACTCAAAACCCCTAGTGGGGCCACTTTATATCGCGTGCTTCTACCGAGCGTGAAGTATCTTTTAGGGTATCCAAATTTAATGGTCAAACACATACACAGCCCCTTAAACTTGGCCCAATTTTTCATTTTGGCACTCCAACTTAGCCTTGTTTCATTTTAACCCTTGAACTCCATTTTTTCTGTTCCATTTTAACACGAAATACTATTTTTATGATTTCTTTATTTTATATATATTCTTCAAATGCAACTTCTTATTTTAAATCGACACGTGTCAGTTAATTTTAGTTAAAAAAATAAAAAATTAACAAAAAATAATTCTTTTTAAAAAATAATAATTTCTTTTTAAGAGTGTTATGTATTTTTGCGTGAAAAATAACCGACGAAATTGTGTTGGTAACATTTTTTAGTAGTGTTATTAGCAATGAACAAGAGTCTTTTTTACTCGTATTGAAGATGAGTTTTTTTGTTCGTATTGATTTATATTAAAAGTGAGTATTTGCGTTAAATTTAGATAGCCTAGATGATAAGAAAAAATAAATAAGTAGTGTTATTTAATTTAATTGAATGTTTAAGAAAGAAAATCAAAGAACTTTCGTCAATTTATTTTCATGCAAAAATACAGAGAAATCTCAAAAAATAATATTATTATTTGAAAATTTTTATATTCGTTTGCGAATGTTTAATTTTTTTATGAAAATTAACAGGCACACGTCTATTTTTTAAATTTTTAATTTTTTTAACTAAAATTAATTGACACGTGTCGATTTAAAATAAGAAGTTGCATTTGAAGAATATATATAAAATAAAGAATCATAAAAATAGTATTTTGTGTTAAAATGGAACAGAAAAAATGGAGTTCAAGGGTTAAAATGGAACAAGGCTAAGTTGGAGTGCCAAAATGAAAAATTGGGCCAAGTTTGAGGGGCTGTGTATGTGTTTGGCCAAATTTAATTTAAAATCCATAAGAAAACGCGGGTGTATCCAATAATTCACTTCTGTCAGGTAGGGTATGGATTATTTGGATTAAATAAAAAAATAAATTAGATTGAATGGAATTTTAACTTGTTTTTTTTTAGTTATTGTCTTTCATTATGATTTTTTTTTTTAATATTTGAACATTTATAATTGATATATTTTTAAGTGTTTACGTTTTACTTGTGATTTATATTAAAAAATATATTTAAGAGATTCTAATTACTGATTATGTTTCTAATTACTAACGAAACAAACAATTGAACGGAAAAGAGAAAAACCAAACCAAATCAAACCAATTTTTTTTGAGTTTGAATTGGGTTACATTTCTTCAAAACCAAAAATCGAAATTCAAATAGAATAGTACAAAATCAAAACGAATAGTATCATGTATTTTTTTTTCGAGCTCATATTAAAATTCTGACTAAATTCGAATCGTTCACTGCAGAGCCTATTCGAGAGTGACAATCTCACCATTTTTTTGAGTATTCAATAAAAAGATTTAAGAAATAGAAACAATTTAAATTTCTAACTTATTTGGATCGATTTTCAAATGTCTGATTATTATTTTTTTTAACGAAAAAATGGACTCGCTATAATTTGCAAAGAAAAAAATCCCGAAGATTAAAACTAAAGAGGTAATATTTAAATTAAAATAAGATAAAAGAACTTGTATACCATTCCACTTTATTAACATTAAACAAATATAATAATATAAAAGTATCATTTTCAAACTCTATGACATTTCCAACCGTAAAAAAGTTTTACATGATACTAAGATAATTTAAATATTTAAAGAGATATTGTATTGTCTTATCCAAATGATTAATTATTTATATAGCTTTTTTGTATTTTACTATGCGTTAAAAGTAAAAAAAAGAAGAGAAACACAAGTTATATTTATCAGAAAGAAATTTTATGAAGTTGAATACTTTACCATCAAAAAATATGGTGTAGCGAATAGGATTACTCCTTTCTTAATCAGAGATTTTAAGTTCGATCACTAGATATTAAAATTTTCATAATAAAGAATGATTTTCTTCAAATGAAGACCTACGCAACGCAAATCAGAATAAAAAATGAAGTTGAATACTTCAATTTCAAACTCCAAAAACTTATTTGTACTTGATATTCATATGTGCAATTATGTATCATTTGACCTAGTTAAATATATCCATGTTGATAAAAAATAAATAAATCATGCGTATTAAAAAAATGTACAAAAAAAGAAAGAAAAGAAGGAGCTGATTTCACATATTATAAGTTCATCAATAGAACATTGTTCTTATTTAATATATTAGGTATATCATTTATTGTTGATACTATTCTCCCTTTTTCCAAATTAGTTTTCTCATTACTATATTTCCCTTTCAAATTCATTTGTGATATTTATTTGAGTCGAAAGTCTTTTAAAAATAGTTTCTAGCCATTATATTGGAGTGAAAAAAAAAAGGTTTTCGAAAAACAAGAAAAGTGAAAAAAAACATTTATATATTAGAAGAGAAGCCCAAATCCACAGTGAGGAAGAAGAAGAGGAGCAGCAGCAGCAAAAACCCCTTCACTCTGTGCGTTTTTTTTCATAATATAACTGAGATAAATATACCGAGTTGAGGAGACCCCAAAACCTAAACTATAACAGATCTGAAACAAGAAAATACTTTGTGGGTCTTTCTTGTTTTTTCCTCTCTTTTTTCACAGAAAAAGAGTTGTCTTCTTCAAAGATGAGTAGCAGAAACAATGGTGGAGTTGGGGTACAATCGATACCCGCAGGGTCAAGAAAGATGGTACAAAGCTTAAAGGAGATAGTTAACTGTCCTGAACCTGAGATCTATGCTATGCTCAAAGAATGTAATATGGACCCCAATGAAGCGGTCAATAGGCTTCTTACTCAAGGTCTACCATAAACCCTAAATCTTTAATTTCTTTTTTTTTTGGTGGGTTTCGGGTTTTAGGGTTTTTTAGGTTTTGGGAAAAAATTGAATAAAGTTACTGTTTTTATGGAAAGAAACAAGAAACGAAAGAAAATCTGTAATAATACTTCTTTTCTTGATATTGGGTGTTAGAAGCTGTGTTTTGTAAGGAGAAGAATAAGAAAAGATTTGATTATGTGTGCAAGATTTGATTTTTTATGCCATCCATGGTAGTTAGTTCCAGATTTATTAAAAGATATCTTAACGGATTGAGCATGCAGACATTTCATTGATTGTGACTTTAGAAAATGAAGAGAAGACAAAACTAGGGTCTTTAGGGATTTTGTTAATCAGATTACTAGGATTTCTCTTTTTAATGCACTCTTTGTTAATTATAGTCTTAGATTTCTTTGGTTGACAATTACTCTTCTTTTACTATCTTTGTTCTCTGATTTTCATCTGTCTGGTTTAATGGGACTTCCTTTTCTTCTCTTGCGTGCGAATTGTCTTATTTGATAGCCTTTTCTTGGACTTTTAAATTAATGTTGTTGCGATTTCGGTGGTACAAGTACTAAATTCCATGTTAGGTAACTTCCGTTTTTCAGAACTGCACGCTTTACTTTGAAGAAGCATGTGTTTGCTTTTCGTTTCTCTCTTAAAGCCTCAGGAACTTATTACTTTTTGTGCTTTTCACTTTTAGAACATTAGCTACTGCAGTCATGTTTGCCTTCCTCTGTGCTCTTCTATGCTGTACTTGTACCTGAGGTTATAATATTTTTAGTTCTTGATAGAATGGTCTTCTGCCATCCCATTGAATGGTGACCGTAGTTTGTGATAAATTTTGATCACCTTCTAACTATAGTTTGTTGATTGGCTAGATACTTTTCATGAGGTGAAGAGCAAACGTGAAAAGAGAAAAGAGGTTCGTAATCTTTACTTAAATCAGGAATTCTAGAGACAAATTGGTTATGGAGATCTGATTTTAACTTTCTCGTTCTTAATACTGCCTGTTTTTGTTGTGATTTACTATTTGATACGAGATAAGGGAAAATTAGTCTACTCAGATCTCTTATTACCTTGGCTCGATGATTAACTTCTGATGAAATTCTGAATATTTCAACGGTAAAAACAAAGGAGAAAGTGAAAGATTCTTTATTTGGAAATTTGTTCAGTAGAGGTTCTTTTTAGTAGGCACCCCATTCTTTTTCTTGATATTCCAATATCTCTTTCTGTTTTATACTAATAAATTATGGTGCATTATTCTTTTCAAAAAAAATTATGGCGTGTCCTCTTGATATGTTTTACGTCTTATCAGATATGTTACATGATCTAGCAGAATATTATAAGGTGTTACTATGTTACTTTCTTAAATGGCTTGTTCATTTCTTCATTCTTCACTCATATTTATCTTTGGTACAGAGTAAGGATACGACTGAATCTAGGCCACGTGGTGCAATTAGCAACTCAGGCCGTGGTAGCAGGGGAGGTGCAGAACGATATGTTGGACGCGGTGGGTCAGGTATGTACATGATAATGTACACTCTTTTCAAACATAATCAAGTCTTAAGTTTTGCATAGTTCATCGCGTCATCTCATGAGGGTATCGTTTTGTTTCTAACCACCCTTTCCAGAGTCTACCAAGCCTATTCCTGGATACAGAAAAGAGAATGGATCAAATACGAGTAGCCTGACTTCTACTCTAGGAGTTTCCGGAAGTAACATAAGCAGGAGGGCTACAACAATCAGGTTAGTAGTTTCAACTTCTTAAATAGTTTAGATTCTCTCAAAAAGACATCATTTGCCTGTAGATGTTTGTCTTTCTGTTTTCCGTAGAGTATTCTGTAGTCCCACAGTATGTTTCTTTCTATTGAAGTGTCTTTGGCAGTAATATAATTAACTTAATAATTACAATCAGTAATCCCTGTATTGGATTAAGCTGGAAATTCTTTTCGAGCACTTCAATAATCATGCAATGTGAGCTATTCTCAAAATGCATGTGACAAAGCACACTTTGAGGGGCTTTTAGGAGATGCATAACAGTGTTCTCAATGCTTTTATGATATGTGTAACAGTGATATCGCTGCAAATGAAAGTAAAAAGTTAGCACCTGCAGCAGTTGATGTTTCATCAGTCTCACAGCGTGAGACTTCTTCTGGATATCAACCTACTTGGGGCGGGGTGCCCGGTCAAGTTTCCATGGCTGATATTGTGAAGATGGGTAGGCCACAGAGTAAAGTGCCAAGTGCACCTAATGTATCTCACCACAATGTCAATGCCAACCAAAACCATATTCAGGGGCTCCCTTCTGGTGCATCACATCAAAATACTCAGTGGTCTGATGATCATACTACCAAAGTTTCTGAGGTACACCGAGAGCCACAACATCTTTCAACTGATGAGGAATGGCCTCTAATTGAGCCGCCATCAGTTGCTAGTCAGACATCTATCTCAGAGCCACCTGCTGATTCAGAGCTGCATCCTGATCCAGCTAACTTGTCATATGACAGAATTAATCATCAAAATGAGATTGATGAAGTTCAGGGGACAGATAACTGCACGATTGAAAATCTTGGTAGTCCTCCAAGCAGAAGGTTGCAGGAGGATAATGCTGGAGGTGCATCTATTTATGAGAATGACCTCTACGGATATCAGAACCAGAATCATACTTTTGACCATCAACAAGGTTAGTATATCACAGTTTTTATTTGGTAATGTGATATGCATTTCATTGTTGAGAATATGTAGTATTTGTTGTCAAGTAGCTTGTGTAATATTTCTTTTGACATGGTACTGCTATTTTTGTTTTTTTCCACAAGAGTTCCAGGCATCAGCAAGTGTTTAGTTTCAGTAAACTAAAGATTCTCTCTTTCCCCATTCTACAATAAGTAATCATTACATGTTTCATAGAGCAACTATACTGGCACTTAGGTTTTTAGGGATGCAGTTTTAGAACCCAAGGTTTTATATCATACTACCAATTTAGCTTAAATAAGCTGGACATTTAGTTGGCTCTTGAATATGCGGATTGTTTAATATGCGGAGTGGGACATATAGCAGCAGTGGAGGGCAACAGGGAATTTTATCTTAACTGCATCCCAAGCTCTTTCTTACTGTATTTGGAGCTTCATGTAATTTTACTGCTTTTCATTTTGTTTTGTCTCGTCACTTTTGATGGTAATGTCACGTAACAAACTTGGTTGTTTTAAACAATACACTCCTCACAGCTTTTTGTTTGTCTTAGATTTTTTTTATAGGAATTTAAAATATCATTTTTCCTGCAATATGTTTACTGGGGTATTATCAATGTTTTGTTAACTGTGGCTTAATACATTACTTGGTTGATTTACTGGGGCATCTGATAGATGTATAAAGAGGGAAGCCTCGAGTGCTGATCACTTGCTGTTCATACTCATAGGTTGTGTCAACATGAGGTTATTGCAGATTAAGAGGTTCTTCTCATGAAGTTTCAAATTTACCATGTGAAGTTGAAGCTTGATGTTCTTGCACATGTCCCCCATATTTGAAATAGAAGAAAATCCTAACAAATCTCAGGCCACATAGAGACTACTCTGTTTTGGTGGGTGGTGGTGATGTTCATGGGATATGCTAGCTAGGAGATAAATAAACCTGCTTTTCATTTCATTATTTAGTGGGAAAGCAGTGTAGTTTTACTGCATAATCAAATCGTTATCACATGGAGTTCTGTTCCTTATGACCTTTTGGAATGTCTATTTTTGTGTAATAATGCTGTTTCATTGTCTTGCAGTTGAAGATGTTAACGACTCTGTTTCATCAGTTGCTGCAAACCTGCAACAGTTGAATGTACAAGATGATGGAGGGGTGCCACCTGAGGGAGATGGTCCTTCTGTTGTAATACCAGACCATCTTCAAGTTCAAACTGCAGACTGCTCACACCTGAGCTTTGGTAGCTTTGGCTCTGGTATTGGTGGCTCCTTTTCTGGGCCTTTGGCATCTGCTCCAGTGACGAGTACTTTGGAAGATGCACCTAAGGAAGTGGATGGTTCATCAGTTGGGCACTCGGGATCCAGGTCAGGCCTCCTTCTAACGTGTGGATTTTCTTAAATTCATTGATGCTTTATCTAATTATATCAACATATAGTGTAGAAACTATGTTAACATTAACATGCCAAACTCTACTGGCGTTTTCCCTACCTAGAAATGTGGGCAATATAATGCAGAAATTATGTTATGTTAACATGCCAAAACTCTACTGGCATTTTCCCTACCTAGATTTGGGGGTAATTTTCAATCATTTGTTTTGCCTCAGTTTTTTATTAAATCAAACTACAAATATCCTTGCATTTTTCTCTTAGTATTTTTGTAGCTGACTTGTTCTAAATGTTCATCATATTAGTCAATCAAATTAATCTATACTATTCTAACATCTCAAACAGCTAGTATCTGTATGAATCCTCTGTAACACCACTGTATTCGGACTCATTTCATTCCAGTCAAAGATTTTTTCATTTAAGACAGGCGTGAAGCTATTCTCTGCCCTCTCCTACCAAAAAGTTATCGTTTTAGACTAAGTTAGGACTTCTCTGAAGCTCACTAAACAGTACATTTTTCAACTTTTACCTTAACATTCCATGTTTTCAAGTTAAAAATAGCTATCTTGCAGGATAACATTAATCATCTTATTGAGGTGTTCAACCTTGCAAGTATTCCTCTTAATTGTTAGTGCATCTTTATAATGCAGAGCTTCAGAATACTATGGTGATGAGTCTCTCAGACATGCATCTGAGAGTAACTTATACCATAGAACTAATGCAAGTTCTGTAAATTACGATTCACCTTCTGCTTCACAACCAGAACCTTTGACATCAGAAACAAATGAACAAGGAAATCAATATTCGTATCCCTCCTCTGCTGCTGGCTACACATATGAAAGTGCACAACAATTAACTGCAGCATTTAGTCAGCCACAGACAAGTTCCCAGATGCAAAATCTCACTCCTTTCTCTAATGTAATGGTAAGTTTCTTTCCTTGTGAAGGATGCAAATAGTTTCCTTGCTCTTCATTGGATGTTTGCGTGTGAATTTGCATAGCTCAAGTCTGAAGGTAATTGTACAGAGTATATTGGAGTGAATTTTACTTCTCTAAGGGGTGCATTTGCATAGCTCAAGTCTGAAGGTAATTGTACAGAGTATATTGGAGTGAATTCTACTTCTCTAAGGGGTCGTTTGGTAGAGTGTATAAGAATAATGCTAAATAGAGTGCATTAGTAATGCTTGTATTAGCAATGCATGTATTAGTTATTCTTGCATTAATTAATACATAGATTATTTTTATGCATTGTTTGGTTTGATGCATTAAAAATAGCATGCATTGCATAAAGAAATTTACTTACATAGATAGCCTCCACTATTATAATGGAAAAGATGTAAAAAGGGATTTGAAGGGCAATTGAGTCTTTAATTAAGCTAATGCATGCATTAAAACCATTGCATTGATGATACCTAGAAATCCATGGTATTAGTAATCCACACCTTAAATACACAATGTATAACTAATGCACACATTAGTTATACATATGTTAGAAAAGAGTACCAAACAAGGTACTAGTAATACACAAGGGTTAATGCATGCATTATTTTTTCTTATACACACTACCAAATGACCCCTAAGAAAGTACGTTGGACTTGATTTCTAGTAGGTTTCTTGCCCCTTGGAGTGCAAGTGTTTGCACAATCTCTTCTTCTGGTGTAAAAGTAAGCAAAAATGAAAATATGAATCAGTACATGAATTTTGTAGAACTTATGAGGAAGGAAGTAGTTGCATATTTGATGTAGTTCAGTATTTTTTGGTCTTTCTGGAGTCGTGTAATTTTGTACCTTGGAGCCTTTATTAATAGTATTTACAATTTTTTTAAAATAAAGCTCTTGCACCATTAAGAAAAATGGTTTGCTAGCTATAAGCATGAGACCATTCAATTAACAAAACTAAGTAATTGATCGAGGTCTATTAGAGTGAAAGATGACTGGACAACCTTTTCCTTTTGTTTCTTTTTTACTTTTTGAGTAGTGAGTTATTGGTTGCAATTGTCTCGGAAAACTGCCTTTTTTTGTGACCCTTAAACCTCTTTCGTGGGATTTTCTTAGGAAAAACCTGAAGTGAAGAATTTCCTTCTGCTTAATCTGTATTTGAAGTTGATAAATATGAAACAATAGTGACAAACATATGAAACCTAAATCTGAAGCATCAGGTTGCTCAGTGTAAGTGGTAATTTGCTATTTTCGTAAATTGTAATGTATCTATATTCTTCCAGGAAAATTTGTCTTTAGTTTTGCAAACTCCAGAAAGATAGAACCTATAATACCTGCTTCGCCCAGGGGAGGGCGGGTGGTAGGTCAATGGTGTACAAGAGAAGCAAAATAGGAACATATAAGTTACCATTTCATTTGTTAGAGATCTTAACACCAGAATTTTCTACATTGAGGTGCTCACTGCTATTGTTTTGAGCAGGCATTCACAAATTCATTGCCTAGTACCTTGTCGGCTGCTAATGTTCATGCTGGTCGTGAAACTGATCTTTCATACTTACCATTTTCTGCAACACAAACAATGGCTATGAAATATGGCAGCTCTGTTTCTTCAATTGGTGGTTCAACAATTTCCATGCCTGAGGTAATGCTATCCTGATGAAGCTAATTGATTCTTCATAGTGAATGTCAATTTCCTCATGTGCACTTGGTGTATTGCTCATGAGCTGCTGGTTGTCAGTATTTTCATGTAATATAATAAGCAAAACATGTTCCTTTTTGTATGCTTTTTGAAGTAATTTTAATCATTCTAGTTGTTTATTTGTGCATGATGAAAATGTTTTACATAATGGATGTAGTTGCATCTTACACGTTTAGTATCTTTCAACATTGGGGAAGAAAGCTTCTGCTATTGGAAACTAAAAATTTGAGTGTTCTCTCTCTTGATGTCTATCCAAATGTTTGAGGGCAGCCAACTTTTTGTATTGCGTAAAATCTCTATAGTGGAAAGATGAATACAGAGAGAATAGTTACTCGTCATGGATTTCCAGAGTAATTCAAGGCACACTTGATGTATTTCTGTGGTACAGTTTAGAGGCTCTTGCTTGTTGAGAGGAGGAAAGGGAAATCACCCTAGAAATTTAGAAAAAGGAGGCTAAAGTTGTGTGTGTAAATTCCTTATATTATTTTTTTGTTTTCCTTATTAAAAAAATGTTAGTACCTTCTGGTTTTTGCATGTAAGATTCCTTTTGGGTTGTTGCAAAAGAAAAGAATGGGCAATTAGTTGTTAATAACCTGAAATTTAAAGATTCACAATAAAAGTTGCTAAATTCGATTCCTATAAGACCAACATAAGATTAATTCCTAAGAGGAGTGTAGGTTGAAAATCAGTTGACGATTGATATAAAAGCTGATGTATAAATCTATTATAGTTTTCCTTTATCATGGAGAAGTGCTGTAAGATAGAACAGAGGGATTTTCTATCTTGTCTTCTTTTTTCTAGAGTAATAAGTTCAATAGTTTGCGCTTATCACTTATTTTTGTGGTGTACATCATTGATTTTTTTCTTTTGACTTGCAGTCTTTGAAGAGTGCTGGTTTTCCATCAGCACAGTCTACACAGCAGACACTTTCTGGAACTAGTGTCACCACTGGACCTACTGTGCCGCAACATCTTGCTGTACATCCATATAACCAACCAACACTACCTCTGGGACCATTTGGTAACATGATAAGTTATCCCTTTATGCCTCAGAGTTATACATATATGCCATCTGCATTCCAGCAACCATTTGCTGGTAACAGTAATTATCATCAGTCGCTGGCGGCGGTGCTTCCCCAATATAAGAACAGTGTGTCAGTCAGCAGCTTACCTCAGCCAGCCAGTGTTGCTTCTGCGTATGGTGGTTTTGGAAATACAGCAAGTATCCCTGGTAACTTCCCAATGAACCCCCCTGCTGCTCCTTCTGGTACTAACTTGAGTTATGATGATATGTTGAGCTCTCAGTACAAGGATACCAATCATTTAATGTCTCTTCAGCAGGTAACCAATTCATTTGCTTGAACAGCTGTTCAATTATTTGAAGTCAATAGTATACTGCAAATTGCTGCTGATTCTACCTTGTTCCTTTTTTGAGAAAATTCTACCTTACTAATATAATAGGTTGATATATTTCTAAATTGGACATATAGTTTTTATAGCACTGCTTTTGTCTGGTTAATTTCGTTTGTTTAGCTCCACTTTAGTCGAAATGGAGCTGTAGGAGGAATGCATCATTTCTTGCGCTAGCTGTATTCTATTGTTTGAGCATTTGCTCATCAACCCCTCCTTCCTTTCCTCGAATTGAAGGCAGCTCATGTATATGTTCCAATTATCCCTTCCTTTCAGAGCGAGAACTCAGCTATGTGGCTTCATGGACCTGGTTCAAGGACAATGTCAGCTGTTCCTGCTAACACATATTATGGTTTTCAAGGTCAAAACCAGCAAAGTAGTGGATTTAGGCAAGCTCAACAGCCGCTGCAAAATCATGGATCCTTGGGGTACCCAAATTTCTACCATTCTCAGGCTGGGATCTCATTAGAACATCAACAGCAAAATCCGAGGGATGGGTCATTGGGTGGTGGATCCCAAGGCCAGCCAAAGCCGTCTCAACAGCTATGGCAAAGTGGTGGCTACTAATCTCTTACTGCCTCCTGCTTTTTTGGAGTCTTGTAATGAGTGTGACAGTGGCTATAGCCTATAGGGTGTTGCTTTGGAAGCAATTAGAATGCACAATCAATTGAATACTTCCCTGTGCCTAGAGGTTGTACTTTACATGTTTGTCATCAGTCAAATGTAACGTAGGATGTGAGCTAACGTCGTGCTAGTGGACTTGTCTTCTGTTTCGTCAACTCAGTTAACCCCTTTGTTTCTTTATTAATAGTGAGAAGTGTTCTGTTTTCACTAGAAATGCATTGCGATCCATCATAGTTTCACGTTATTTGGATGCGTTTAATTTACTGGGTATGCTGATCTCCTCCTACCTTCTAGTGAGCTTAATATTCCTGGCACTATAGGATGGAATGTACCAAGATTTTTGTTAATTCATGCTTTTGTTTATTACATAATCGTGGTGACTTATTTTTCATGAATAATTGTGGAGTCATTTCTTTTTTTGGGTTTATAGGTCGTTTATAAAGAATTGAGAGATCAAATAGGGGTATCATTTGGCCACTTTTGTTTACCCGCTTCTTGCATTGACAATAGCTCAGAAGATTGTTGTGTTTAATGAAGCAAATTTGCGGTTTCTTCTAACATAAAACCAAGGATACAGCACTCCAAGAAATTCACAGGACGACCACAAGCTCAGAAGAGCTAGAGGACATAGAAGTGTCAACTTTTTGAAAGTTGGTTGGATTTGATATAATGGAATTTCAAGATTGACTGTCAAACACGACTTTGTAGATGACACGAGATGAACAAAAAATAATTAACTGCATTGAGGACACATAATTATTGTTACTATTATAGTAAGGGGGACCAAGAAAATAAAATCATGAAAAGCGTCTAAGACACTAGTAAGGCCAAAATCCACATTGCAAGTGAGTTCTACACTAGAATCAAGTTTGTATTACATGATCTACATCTTAGTGTATCCAACAAAATCCAAACATGTAGAAACAACAGACTGGGTGTAAGTAGAAACTTTTTTTTTTGTTTTTTGCCAAAACACATGTAACTTGATGCTCATCAATTAGTTCATTCAGAAGGAAAGAAAATCAGTACTTGCAAGACCTTGGTTTCCCTTTCTTTTGTGGACCCAACAAATCATTTGAGAAGAGATCTTGCCAAGTGTTCTCGTGCAGTTGCCAATGCTTGACTTATAGTCTGTAGAAAACCACAAAGGACATGTAAAAAAATGAGTTAATTGGACGGGGATGGTAATTAATGAAGCAACTATTCCATCAGTTTGAAGGACCAAAGCATCAAGAAAGAGAGCAATATTTACCTGCTCTGACAAAGGTGCCCCAGAATCAACGCTATTGCTTGCCACTTTCCCAGCAATAACATTAGCATCCGTTTCAAGAACAATTCTACAGAGACAAGAAAGTGATGGAGGATCTTCATAAGATGGTAAACACTAAGTTCCCTATAACTGAAATTGAGCAAGATTGGAAGTCCGCTTTCTTTTCCACTCTCTTTATCCACATCAATTCTCAAGGTCAAACACTCTAATATGTACTAAACGCGGCATGTCAAAAAGAGTATAAACTCTACGGTGGAAGTTGGGAACTAGGATGGATGAAGAAGTGGACATTGAGGGTGTATTTGGTACGGAGAATGTTTTCCAATTTTCCCATGTTTGATTGGTCAAAATGATTTTGGAGAATATTTTCTCTAAGAAAACAAGTTCCTTCAAAATCAGCAAAATGACTTCCCTAGTGGAAGAAGAAAACAAGTGTCATACTTGACATTCCAAGCTCATTGTCTCCTCCCGAAGCAATGGTTCCCACCCCCCACCCACTCCCTTAGCACTCCACCTCATAATACAACAACAGACCCAATGTAATTCCACAAGTGGATGTACGCGTCCTTACCCCTACTTTTGTGGGAAAGAGTGGTTTCTAATAAACCCTCAGCTAAAAAAAGTGCAATCAAAGAAGGATAGAAAGGAAAATAACGACAGCAAAATAACAAGATAAACAAAGAATCAAAGTAACATAAAGTAGTAAAAATGAGGAATAAGATACTACGTGAATACAAGGTAAGACTACTAAATAAAGAGAAGATGAGAAGAGGAGATTAGCTCCATGCTTCTCCCTCGTAAATGTACTACAACAAACGGCTACCTACTATCCATCTCCACCCATAGTGTTTTCCTATACTGCGTAATCATAGTATTTTCCAAAATTGCATGTAAATGCTCTTGAGACAAAAAAAATATTTTGTTTACTTACCAAACACCAAAAAAATAAGTAAGAAAAACGCTTATTTTTCAATAAAGTATTTTCTATGTAAAACATTGTTCGGCATAACAAACACACCCAGAGTCTAAAGTAACAGGAGAGCAAAACAACTTGACTATGATGAATGAACACATACCTTCAAAGGAAAAAGTCACTCAACCCAACTCCCACGAGGCAACTTCTCATAAAAATGAAGTCACTAACATAGAAAAAGGGTAGCTAATACAGCGACTGTCCAAAATAAGGCGTGTGATGTACTATCATCTATATATTACTCAAAATGTTAAAAGCTAAGCTGATGAGAGCTTTATAGCTTGTGAAAGAAATATATGTCCATAGGAAAGAGGTCACTGCTATAGGATTGATAATTGATGTTCTCTTTATTCCTCTCTTTCTTCTTCTTTTTTGGGTGGTGGTGGGTGGGGGGGGATTATGTATAAGAAGTATCCTATGATTCTTTTGACCAAAACTCTTGGCTTAATAAGTCTCCAGCAAAGAAAAAATGTTTAGTTAAACTACACAATTGCCTTTTATTTTTCCCCATTTGGGGTAAATTAAATCCAAATATTAATTTTACTATGGTTCAGAAAGTTAGATACGCTTTTGAAACTCTAATTCTCTACAACTACAAAAGAAAAGAATAAAGGTTTCTGACATGCTATATTTGTACAAAGATCGAGTAAAAGTTGCAGCAAAACAGTAAGAGAAAGCAACATTAAATGAGGATTTTATAACTCAGAATTTAAAACAAATAAAATAATCATGGTACGATTCTCTTACCCGCCATCAACAATTTCATCCAGACACAAAAGAATAAGATCCAAATTTTCAAGTGACTCCTTCTTTTCTACATTGCCCCTAAAACAAAAGGCATTTGCAGCAAGATGAGTACATGAAGACGAAAATATCAAGTGATGCATATTGAAAAGGAGAAGACTGCTTTTGTAGACAACCTAAGAAGAATACCAACAGCGTCAAAGAATCCTTGGAGCACACTGGCAAGGATTATTTCATTTTCATTGTCACTCCCAGTAACAAAGAAATGAAGATCTTGGGCAAACTTGTAGACAACAATATAATTATCAAACATTGTTATCTCCGCTGCAGAAGAAGTGAGAAGAGAGGTCAGAGAGATGAAGGTTGCCTTTCCGACCACAAAGTTTAGTTTCATCAGCAGGGGGGGGGGGGGGTAGTAGAAGAACCAATATGTAGCAGGACATCTTAAGCACAACAGTCCAATTTAGTCACTGGCATAAAGACAACTCTCAAGATGTAACGAGTAATCGCTCACCAAGACTTAAATTCATATGACCTGGAGACAATCAACTTCAAGAAGAGGATATGCAAACAAACAACACAAAGCCAAGTCTTTTAAGATTATTATTATCAGCCTACCCATCACTGATCTATTTGGTAAATTAGCAAAACTTCTAATAGCTTGCCTTTGTTTTTGGCTCTTGATTTAATACATACCACCAGAGTTTAATAAAACTCAATGTTTGCAGAGACTGGCAAGGTATACGACATATGATGGCATCACAAACAACTCTAGTGCAGAATGGAACATCACCAACTGTCTGGATGAGCTTTGCTTCCTTTGCATGTTGAAAGGGAGATATTTGGAAAGAGCATGACCAAATATAAATAAAAAAATCAACAGTTAAAGAGATATCATACCTTCTGCCCTAGCATTAGTCTTTTGAGTCTTGGCAAACACGGCCTTCTCAAAAGCTTCCTTTGCAGCATTTGTTGGCCAATCATCTGAGTAGTAGTTTACAGCAACACGCTTTCCTTCGGAATCTAGAAGCAGAATGTTCTTAATTGCAGGGCAGGTCTCCTGCAAAAAGGATTTGAAAGACATTATAGCAGGATATGTCTACACATCCATATGATTTTAAAAAAGGGATAAATTTCTTTTCTCGTTTTATAGAGAAATGGGTTAAAAGCATATATTGACACATTTGAGACACATGGAAGTCATCCATGTATTGCTTATGGTTCTATCTATCAATTGTTCAAGTTTAACCATAGTCTCAAAATTCCAAGATACAGCCACCATTACATATTCTCCTTTCAGTTTTCTGTTAAAGCACACGTGCAACATAAATCTACTCCAAATCAAGCACAACCACAACACAAAAGAAGTTGCCTTCCCTTTCAATGGCCTACACAGCTATAGATGTCACCAGTAACTACACCTTAAACCAGAAGTTTGCTCAGCTGCCCTTTCCCTTTATTCTCTCGAGAAAATCCTCACTACTTGATAAAATATCTCCGCCCCACATCATAAGCCCCTGTTATAAAGTACCACATTTCATTCTTCTTGAGCAAGAATTCCCATTCTAAAGAGGTGAATACAACATCTCATTTCAAAACATGAAACCAAGATTAAACCCAAATTAGCCTTAAATGTGAGGGTTGCTGTCCGACTTAAACACTGGTATTCTCCCAATTAGGGCGTTCCGAAAGAAAAAAAAACTAACTGGTGCTGTATTTACTGCAAGTAATCTTACTTTCCCACATAAAAAAAGTTTCCTCTTCCTTTTGTTTAATTCTTAAGTTTTTTTCTTCCCATTGTTGGAAACTTACAGATGCTAGATCTGATTGATATACCCTCCCATTTATACCTCCAAGTAAACAAACTCTAGAAAAACGTCGACAATCAAAGAGATCACAAAAAACACTAGGCCAACTATTCCAATTCGACTAAAACTAAAACACAAAAATGCATAATTTTTTCTACAAGTGATAAATTCAACCATACAACACGAGATCAGTGATAAACGAGAATGAGCTTCTTTTAGGCAAAAAAAAAAAAGTTAGAAGTTTTGTTTTACTTGAAAAATAAAGAGAATTACTCAAAGATGTTAAGGGAAAGAGTGAGAGCTGACCATTGTTAGTGAAAAGAGGTCTGAATTGACGTTGAAAATGGCGGATCGCTCGACCTACGGACACACCAGAATTGCACGCCGTAGAGAAAGGAGGAGGAGCCTATTTGCTTGGGGAAAAAAGCACGGATTTTTTACCTTTTTAAAAAAAAAATATTATACTTTTTGAGTTCCTATTTTGCTAGGCGTTACGACTGTGATATTTTGAGGTTATTGATATCTTTACTGTTGTATTAATAAATTATTTTATACTCAATTCGTGCACTTTTACTTGTCTAGAATTTTTAAAAATATTAAATTTAAATAATGATATATTAAAATTATTATTTTATTATTGCTTCGTAAAGTATGTGCAAAAATACTTCGGATGAAGGTTTCATTTTTTTATTTTTATTTTTTGAAATTATAAAGGTTCAAATTTATCCCTTTGATTTTTTTTAATTATTGGATTTGTTGCACTTGAGCTGAGGGTCCTTCGGAAACAACTCATCTATTTCTATGAGGTAATTGTAAAGTCTGCGTACATTTTACCCTCTCAAACCTCACTTGTGGGGGGATTCACTGGATATGTTGTTGGTGTTGTTTATCCCTTTGAAATTGATTATAATTTAAAAATTACGCCTTTTTATTTGGGTCATAGCTTCGTCAGGGTAAACAACAACAACAATGATATACCCAGTGAAATAGTCTAGGGATAGTAGAATGTACGTAGGCCTTACAACTACCTCATGAAGATAGAGAGACTATTTTCGAAAACTCCTCGGCTCAAGAGCTCTGGGTCAAGGGCAAGTATAAGGCAAGTTACTAAGGTAGCTAACCTTTTTTATTTTATAATCTGCTGCTAAATAAGATTAATAACGATCAACTTAACAACAAATTATGCATGAAATTTATTGCTAATTCCAATATCTTTATAGAAAATTAACTTGGGGAAGAAAAATGAAAGCTCAAATAATAAATTTAAAAGGAGAATCTAAAAAAATACTTCCATACTACATGAATTATCCTAGTTTTACACATCACATTTTGGGGTCATTTGTCTCTTGGTTTAGCAAACCATCATTATATTTGATTTTAAAACGATTGCCTCAAGAGCTTAACTCAATTGGCAAAGGTTGAGGCTCCTTAGAGACTTGAATCACAGGTTTGAGTAATGCATGAGACGCAAACTAAGTCTGATATTTAAATAAAGAAGGGTCGATTCAAAGATATTATTTCTGAATTTTAAAGAATATAGTTGATCATAATGGTTGGTTCCAAACAGATTTCTCGATTATTAAGAAAGTTATTATTCTAACTTTTCTTAGTGCAGCTTTTCATTACTTGTCACAGTACAGAAAACAAAGTTAAGAAATGGATATTAAAGCAGAAAAGCATTAATCAATACTAGTAGAAATAATTGAATGAAGCAAAGAACTCAGCAATATCCAATTGTCACAGTAGCAACAATCACTCTTTATAGGTGACAGGGGGAATTGCAAGTTCTTTTTCACTTTCCTGCATTATCTTTACATTTATAATAATCACTTTTAAACTTGCAGCTCTGTTATCTCTACTAGATTTTCCACTTGTATAGTTTCGAAATCAGTAAAGATTACACCAAAACTGACAAATGAATGAAGGGAAACAACTATCTATTAGAGCAGCTACTGTTGTTTGCTGCAAACTGTATTTCTGTGGTGCACACAGCTTTCTATTGTTTGGATCATTCTCACCCCAAATGCAGACTAATCGCATTTCTCCACCTCGAGAAGAAGAGAATATCTTGACACAACATAGCATTTGGCATCAAATGATCATTCAAATCTAGCAGTGATATCTGCAAAATAACAACAGCAAAAGCTGAAATTTTAAAACAACCTAGAAAAGGATGGAGAAAGATAATCTACTTGAGCAGCTTTCAGAAGGATTCAATTCCGATCAAATTATTATAAATAACGACTTGTGTTATAACAGTTAAATCAATGTTAATTGGCTGTGCTGTTATCAATCAGATTTGCGAACGAAGTGCATAGCATGCAGAGTTGGCATACAAGCTAGTCGGGAAACGTAACCCCGCGTGACAGTTATACGTGGGGAATTTGTCAATGATCATTCAGGATGGCCTTCATTAAGGGTCTTAATGATCACTTTGAGTTGTATAATTCATAGGACACCAATTGCAGGAAGGTACTGTGTTTAATTAAATGGAATCCATCTCTAAATGGATTTAATTTTTGGATGGAAAAAGTCAAGTGCTTTAGACATGCACTATTTTGTCTGCCTTCTAAGATCAAAAACTCTTCATCTAAGAATCAGTTTTGGAGAATGAAGATCATCAATTGACTCTTAAATCTATTGGTTACTACTAACATGCATACAAATTGCCGATATAAGTATAAAGAGGTAATGGCTAGATTTGGGAGCTAATTGATGAATCTTATCGCCTCTAGAAATAATTTATAGATGAAAACAGACTTTGAACCCTCAAAACATCTGAAAATACTATGTTTATGCCACATGGCTTCTTGTTGACATAAAATTTACAATGTTAAGGGAAGTTAACATTTTGGCAGATACAGGACCCTTATAAATTAGGTACCAAAAGCGTAATTGGATCAACAAATGATGTAAACCTCTACTTGAGTTAAGGGGCTGGATAACGGACAAGTGAGGGATCTGTTATTGAGAATCACATTTAAGAGGATGATCTCAAGAGAATAGGGCACTAGGAAACTAGCTGGATTCTGGAATGACAAGAGCATAAATTGAAAGAACAGCAACCGTAGATATCACCGCAGCACTTTGGACCAATACGGAGCTCGGACAAAACGGAGACATAGTACAAACCTGAAATATTTCACTTCAAGCAACCAATCTCCCCATCTAAGGCTAACTGCATCGGAAATGCGCTAGAGAGGTAGCAGTTCTTACTGAAAAAAATGCTTTTACTATGAAGGATCTCTACTTAATGGATAATCAAGTGTATCTAGAAACAAATCTGTAGCAGGCTCATCTTAAAACAACTAAAAACTGGATAATTAAGGAAGGTGGGTAGCCTCGGAAAGTATGAAGAATACAACATTATTTACTTTGGATCAACTAAAGCTCCACAAGCCATGGTCTTCTCTTTCAATTTCAAGCTACAATTGTTATTAAAACAAAAGGGTGAGCAGGAATGAAGCAAAAAACAATAATTTCTCCTTGCAAATACAAAATGTGAACCGGTAAAGGTGCATATTTACTACAAATGTTACATTTGCAGTAGATAATAAAGACAGAAAGCTTTGAACTAGCATTACTTGGACATATTTTAGCTTCTCAATGTCAAGCGAGGAGATTTTGATTATGTCTATTGGTGCTTTCATTAGTTAAGTGCCAAGCCAAAAGTAATAGGAGTACTAAACTACTTGAGATCTATCACTACCAGCAATATTTTTAATCCATCCACTAAAACAATATATGATCTCATTTTCAGAGAGACTATGAGGTTACCTGGACTAGATGCTCATCTCGAAATCGGCTTCTGAAGAAGAGCTGTCAAATAAACTTCCCCATTCTTTACACCACTAGCATCATTCTTATTTGCCACTGCCCACTTAACCTTCTTGTAGTTCAATTTCCAGATCAAAGGTTGAAAAACCTTCTCAAGATCTGCTCTTTTACTAAAGAAATGGTCCAACCAGAGGTATCCACCAGCCCTCAACACTCTATCAACATCAAAAAGCAAGAACTCCATCATGGTCACTGGAATCCACCTATTCACAGCATGGCCACATCTTACAAGATCCAGCACCCCATCAAACACTGGAAGCCTCTGCTGCAAAGGCACATGTAAAGGCACCAATCCCCTAAGTGCCACAGTCTCACTATAAGGGGCACCGAGATTCATTGTTGTAGTCACAACAGTTACATTATGCAGCTTCATTTGGGCAGCAAAAGTTCCTGTACCACCACCAATATCAAGTGCCAGCCTAATAACACTCTTTGAGGTCTTAGTGAGCTGAAGAAACTGTGGAATTGGGAGATCTAGATCTGACTTAAAATCCAAGAATCTTGATTGCTCAACTTTCATATCAAATCCCAAGTTGGGATTAGACTGAGACAAACAAGAAAAGCTCTTACAACTGTAATTATTCCACAACAAGGCCTTTTCAGGGATAACAGAAAAAGGGGTTTTAGGCAGAGAAGTAGGGATACTAGAAGGGGTTCTTGAAAAACAGCGCCTCCTTGGAAGAGGGTGACACCCTCTAAGTATAAGAGACTCAGCTACTGAAGAATCTGAGGGGCAAAGACTAAAGGGTGTGTAGCTCATGTACTGATGAAGCAAATCAGGATTGTCTTTACAAGAAGAAGCAATAGGTGATAAATGAGTGTAAAGAAGGAGATCAGAAGGGATGGTAACTGTAGATTTCTTAGCTTTAGCAGATGGAGGAGCTGGAGGCTGGAGGCGCGTGAGGTGGTTAATGGTGGCGCGTATGGTCTGAAGCTGATGCAGAAGGTGGTCAGGAACAGGTGGAGCAACAGGGGGCTTGGATTGGATATTGGAAGAGAGATGATACAAAGAAAGAATGTTGGTAGCCACCATAGCTACCAAAAGAAGCAAATTTAGACCCATTGTGAATCCCATTTTTGTGGCTCCTGCAAATTTTTCTTGATTGCTGATACACTTTAGAGAGTGTAAAAGCTCAAGAAAAGCATAAAGTTTTGTGCTTTATGTTGCTTCTACTACTATTACTACCGACTGAGAGAGAGTTGAGAGAGTTCACATTAAATGTAAATATTTGTATTTTAGATCTAAGAAGAAAGACATCTTTTTGATGTCTAAATTTCAGGGTGATTTTTCTTTTACTTAGTAATAAATGTATGTGAATGTTTTGTTTGATCTGTGAGATGTGAGTGGGCAGTAGCTATGGCTACGTATTCCCGGTTCATTTTTACTTGTCATATTTATTTTTTTAAAATTAAACTGAAACGTGATAAACAAAAGACGAAGAAGTGAGTAATATTTTACTTGTTCATGTGTTTTGATGAAATCTTAGATGTGTTGTGTTATTATAAAATGATCAAGTTGGAGTTTTGGAGGCACGTGAACATGGGATTCTTTTGATTTCTAGTCTACATTATTGCTTGCTGTTTTTATTTTGGTTTTTAAATCAAATTATGCATGAATCATAATCACTAAATTATTACAGTTTGAATGTTAGTTAACATTTTCAGTTTGATTAGAAAGATAATTGAAAGTAAATGAATTTAGTAACTCAAAGAACAAGACAAATAACTTTCTATAAAAAATTAATTACACTTTCAATAAGCATAAATAAAACATATGTGTTACAAAATGAAACCAATCAAGAAATGTAAAATAAAGAGAGAAAGAACTTTTCCCCCCCTAGTTATTCAAGTCTTCAAGTGTACTATATGAGTTTTTATATCTGTATACTCGTTTGGTAGGCGGTATTAAATAGAATAGTTATGAATTGAAATTTAGTCCATCTAATATATTGTTTGATTATTTTATTTTATTTAATCTATGAATTTCTTATACACCATATTTGATCTTATTTTATCCCTATGAAATGAAAGGAATAACTAATCCAAGGTTTGTTAAAGCCTTGGCCTTAACCCCTAAAGGAGGTGAGACACGTAATATTAAAAAATTAAGATCATAAAGGAAGGTGAACACAATGATGAAGAGTAGTATGAACGAACATGAAACATCCACATAAATAAATATATTTCAGTACAATTTTTTAATAAAATAAAATAAAAATTGAAACCAATTTATTTATGTTTTCTTGGAAATTATTTTATATTCAATATTTAACTAACCAAGTTCAATTTGAGTTCCAACTAAACTATAATTTATCATTCAATCACATTTGATTCAATTATCAATTAAATTTATTAGTAATTTTATTTTTTGGATTGTGCACATTGAAAAATTAACTTTGACATTAAATTTAAGATAAATATATTAAAAAATTGATCATAACAAAGTAAATTTTTTACACTACATCAAATTTTACTTATGTAACTAATATATCAAAACAATAGACCACTTTGGGGTAACTCATTGGTTTGGGCTTAAGACATTCATGTTGGAGGTTTCAAGTTTGAAATTCCTTGCCAGTGAAAACAAGAATTTTACCTGTGTGCACCTAAAAAATAGCAGCTACGGGCTCAAAGTAGATAGTCAAATAATAATTTAAAGTCTACTTTACTAAACGAACCCGATACGCACATAACAAGTGCCGAGAGAGGTTAAAAGAACTGCGTCTTTTAAACGCTGTGTGTCCCTTTTCTTTCTTCTTCTTTGCCAATATTTACCCTTTTTCTGCAACTCAGTGCTCAAATTCGTTACTTCCCAGAAGATGGTAATCTCACATACCCTGCATATTTCTATATGTTTTCTGAATCAATTTTGGATGAATGTCAATTTTAGCGTTGTAATCTTGAAAAACTATTTTTCTTTTTTAGGGTTGTTACAATTCCAAAAATGGTTACTTTTCTTTGTTTTTCTTACTGGGAATTTTTGTTCCATTCTTGTATTTCTACTGTTTTGAGTTCTGATTTTTTTGGGTATTCATCTGAAAGTTGGTAACTTTAACTTTTTTTGCCATCTGAAATTTGAGAACTTTTTCGGACAAAGGGAATAAGGGAGACTGGCAGTGAATATGTGTTGGGAGCAGTGCCTTTGTGTAGCTTGGAATTGCATTTTTCTTTGTATTTGTTTTGGGTTTTGGCCTATGTTGCTCCACTCTTCGAAAACGTGGGTGTCGGATCCTCCAAATGTAGTCTATTTTAAGAGTATCTGATACAGGTGAGGCATCATTTTTGGAGAGTCCGAGCAACATAGGTTTAGGCTGAATGCATAAAGATTTTGTTTATGGACTTCTAAATTAGTTTCATCAAATCTAGAGAAGTTAATTTTAGTTGGACTATTGTTAGAAACTTAGAATAAGTGGTCAATTTTGAAGCTTGAAATGAAACTGTGATATGGTTTTTGAGAGATTGATTCATTTTCTTTTTTTGCAATTACTGTAGGCTGACCCAGAATTGGAAGCTATCAGGCAAAGGAGAATGCAGGAGCTCATGGCTCAACAGGGCGTGGTATATAATTGTCTCTGTATCTATACTTTATGTTTTTGATGTTCAGTTTTACCTTGTCAAGCTTTGAACTTCACAATATCTTCACTAATTCTTTTTTGGGCAAATAGGGAACTCAGCAAAACACTGACCAGCAGAAATCCCAAGATGATGCTAAAAGGTTTGTTTTTGTATAGCTCATTTGGTCAAAATTTTGTTTTTATTAGTAATATATTAGTTCTTTCAACATTTGATATCCACTATGGAAGTGATTGATGTAGGGAGGCTGATGAGCGAAGGCAAATGATGCTTACTCAGATTCTCACTTCTGAAGCAAGGGCCAGAGGTAGGTGCATGTTGTGTGAATTATTTTCCAAATGTTTGATGTCTTAATTTTTACGAATTGTGAACTCTACAATGATTGATGTCAAAATGTTGTCATTGTTAGTAATATTAGTTTAATCTTACATTTATATTTAACAAGCAATTTCTTTGAAGTTAATTACACTCTGTTTTAATGAATAAAACATTTTCTTATTTTTGATGGGTAGAAGTAACATCGAGCACGACTTCCAATTCAGCTGCAGAGTTTATTGCTTTAGACATTTGACCTTGTAACTAGAACATATATGATGCAATCAAACACCATACTGTCTCTTAGTCCATGTGAATAGGATCCGACGTTTTCAAAGGCATCTCTAAGGTGTGGCTTTAGGCTTGCCTCGAGGCAAAGATAATAGGCATCATAAAGTTCTCTTGGGGAATAAGGGAAATTAGAGAGGACCCCTTAACGCATACTCTTCTGGGGTTTATGCCTAGGCATCAAGCATAGAGGTGTATTTCATTAGCTCTTTATGAAGGTCTTAGCTTTTGGGACCTATTTTAGTTGCTGGTCTTTTTTTTTTGAGAAAGTTAACATTTTATAGACAAGATACACCAATAGTGTTTTCTAGTAGTAGTTACATCTGGGATTTACAGTAAACAAAACCAAAGAAGTCTACCACCTATATCCCTCCTAAACTATCTAGAAACTGAGTAATATCCTCCACCTTTTTGGGGAGTACATAGTTACACCAAAAAAAAAGGTTATAAGACAATTCATCTTCAGACTTTGGAAAGGGATGCTCTTGTTTTCAAAACATTTTTGGTTCCTCTCCCTCCATATTGTCCACCAGATGCAAACAGGGACAATCTTCCATCTCTCTTTGTGGTCGGACAAATTTCCTTCTCTATTCCTTCTCTTTGTTGGTCTTTTGAATTGACTCGACGTCGTTAAGTCAATTTTAAAAATCTTTTCCATGAGGGTGTGGCCTAGTGGTCAATGATGTGGGTGGAGCACCATGAGGTCTTAGGTTCAGTTCCCAGTAGAGACAAACACTCGGTGATTTCTTCCCCATATGTTCTAGCCTTGATGGACAAAGTTACTTGGTACCTGTTGTTGTTGGGAGGTGGGAGGTGCCAGGTATTTCATGGAATTAGTTGAGGTGCGTGCAAGGTGGCCCGGAGACTGCGGTTATCAAGGAAAAAAATCTTTTCCAGTGATGCAACTTATCTAGGTCTCCTAGAAGGGTCAAACTAAGCTCACACAATTGGTATATCTTCTCAACACCCAACATTTATGCACTGACTTAAGTTCATGTCTCACATCAATTTTATTCTAGTACTTGTATGTGATTCTTTTATAAATTTAAGTTAATCAAAAGATTTGAAGGCATCTACTTCAAGTCTTAGGGCGCATTCTTCACCTACGGAAGAGTAAAATTCATATCGTTCGCCTATTTCACCTGTGAAACATTGGGGTCATGAATTTTCGATGCAGGGAGTGTATATAATGTTGAAAAAGTTTTATTGACCATTCACATATTTCTCAAATACATTTACCGTTTGAAGCTAGAGTGAAGAAATAAGGATAACATTTCCTTACCAGGTAAATTAAGTACAATAGTACTTGCCAACATAACTTTGAAAGAATACTACAACATGAAGTTTAACTTGACCTTCTGCACATCATCCACTAAGCTCTCAAAACATCTGGAGTTGCCTTCCTTCCAAATTGTCCACCAAATGCAAGACAAACAATTCTCCATCCACTCCCATTCTTTGCATGTGATCCTATTCCTTCCCAACTACTGAGAGCTTCTGAAATCTTACCTGGCATAGACCAGGATATTCCTTTCAGGTTTAAGATAATACTCCATAACTGAGGTGTGAGTGGACAATGCAAGAAGAGATGGTTGACTATCTCTGTTGTTTCTTTACGCAGGAAGCATCTTGAATACAACGGAAGCCCTCTGTTCACCAAATTGTCCAGAGTAGGGGCAACTTCTTTTGTAGCTACTTTATGGGGGACTTTGGCCTTCCAAATTTGTTTCCATGGCCAGTAGGCTAACTGTTGATTGGGTTGTGTCAACAGTTTGTATGTTGCATTGACCCTGAATAGGTCTTTGGTGTTGCCTTGCCCAAAGTTCATCTTCACTTGTTTGTAACCAAGAAAATTGTTCAAGTGTTTAGAAGAAGTCAGTCGCCCTCTAAACTTCCCAGTCATTGATTTCTCTTCTAAACTTGATATTCCAACCTTTGAGTGTGCACATATCTGCTACTGTCTACTGCTGATCGCTCTAACTAAGTTGAAAATATCTTGACATACCAATTCCAATTTTCCAACCACATGTCAATTGTTTTTTTTTTTTTTTGAAATTGGTAAGGTTGTATTCTTCAGCATTAAGGGCATGCTGGCCACCACCAAAAAGTGTCAATTACAAACTTCCTATCAAATCTACAATTTGATCTATATCTACTATACACAACTGTTTACACCAAAAAAGTAGAGATACTATACAATTCCATTTGACCTTGTGTATGGAATTGGATCTATTGTCGAAACATCTACTGGTCCTTTCCTTCCAAACTGACCACCATATACATGATGGTATTAACCTCCACCATCTCTTCTGGCTCTTGGTACCTCCTCTCCTTACCTAACTCTTCAACACGTTTGATGTACGTTCTGGCATTGTCCAATTCAGATTTGAGATGCTAAGGAACAAATTCCAGATTTGAGCAGTGTAATTACAGTGCCAGAAGAGGTGGCTGTTAGTTTCACTTGTCAAATTGCATAAAAAACACCTAGGGACCAGCTGTCTACCCTTCTTCTGAAGTACTTCTTGTGTTAAACAAGCTCTCTTTATCACTAGCCAAGTGAAGCATTTCACTTTTGTAGGAATATCCCCCTTCAAAAATAGTTCCAGAGGTGTTTTGGTGAACAGAGGGCTTCATGCCAAAAATAACTTTCATGTCTCAACGTTCGAATAATTTTATAAATGGAATGTTTGGGGTATCCAACCAATTTGCATCTACCAATAACAACATATACTTTATTTCTTGGCTAGTTAGTTTGTCCGACGATTAAATGTGATGGTCAGGATGCTTCTTTTTTTTCTTGTACATTCCAATGGTTTCCAGACAATCTTGAATCTCTTCGATGGTTGGCGTTATCTCACCATCCCCAAATCGAAAGACCATTCTTTCACTATCCCAGAATCGAGTAATGACTTCAATGAACTCGGGCCAAACTTGAAGCTTCATTATTGAAGAAAGGTTGCCCATGTGAATTGAAACTTCCCTCTTTTGGTACCCATTGAGGTTGTCCCACCAAAAACGAAGGAGGTTTGGAGTCTTGGTGATCATGTTGAAACTTAGAAATCTTCTAGTCATCTACAAAAAACACAAAGGATTAGAAAATCCCCCCAAACCCATGTGCACAACAAATTGTCAAACGACGCTTACATCTTCAAACACATAAACATGAACGTCTGTTTGGGCCGGGGGCTCTTTGGACACAAGATGGTCTTTCTACTGGGCCTAACAGGTGTACCAAAAGAGGGAAGTTTCTATTCATATGCGCAACCTTCCTTCAATAATGAAGCTTCAAGTTTGGCCTGAGTTCATTGAAGGCATTACTCGGTTTTGGAATAGTGAAAGAATGGTCTTTCGATTTGGGAATGTTGAGATAACGCCAACCATCGAATAGATTCTATATTGTTTGAAAACCATTGGAATGTGCAAGAAAAGAAAGAAACATCCTGACCATCACATTTTATTGCCATGCAAGCAAACTAGCCAAGAAATTAAGGATATGTTGTTATTGGTAGATGCAGATTGGTTAGATACTCCAAACATTCTATTTATAAAATTCTTCGAACGTTTGGGACATGAAAGTTATTTTGGGGAGTTCCACAATCATTCCACTTGGAGTCAAACTCGAGCCTTGGCATTCTCTATATGCCTTTTGGGAACCATAGTATTTCCTCGTGACAAGGAAAATGAAATTAATTCTCGAATCGTCAAGACTGCACATGCTATCTTTTGTGGTATTGGTAAGACAGAACAAGATAAAAAGTATTTCAATCTGGCTCCGGTCATTCTAGTTTGACATTTATCGATTGCTAAGTCGACGTAAAAACGGACATCGATTCTTTCAAGGATGTAACATTCTGCTTCAATGGTGGATGTCTAAACACATGGTTAAAAGAGGAGAACCTAAAGTACATGATTTGGCCAAAGCAAGAAGGGTTGGATGACCTTGACCACCACAAACTTAGTCCAAGTGTCCAAAACTTCAAGATTCAGAAAACAAGAGAAACATGAGCTCAAGTCCTTTACGATGTAAGGGAAGATAATGTTCGATGACTTTACATCGGAAAGAATAGCAATTCGAGGATCCCATTGCCCTTTTCTGATTCTTGTGGGTATTAGAGGGATTCGACCATATAATCCTAGTAGAGAATGCGACAGAAAGCAAATCGTACCTTTGATGTGATAAGGTGCCACGTGCTAAAGAGATCCTCAAAGAATGGGCCCGGCGTGTCAATTTGAAAGGAAGTATGGCTGCAGAGGGGTATAAGAAATGACTAAAGGAGGACTTGGTACACTCATTTCGGGACCGTGTAGAGATCGTCAAATCGAGGATGTCCAAGTGAGGCTCCAAATTTAGGCCCATCATTTTCAACAATAATGGGATAAAAGAGAACAAGAATTTCAGCGTAGTGAATAAGAGTTCCAACAAAGGAAATACGAGAGTCAAAGAGTCTTGGCTTTCGTAACACAAAAGTTAACCAATTCAAGAGCATGTCTAGTGCGTTTGGACTGAACCTGGATAGTCAACTTGCCACTCTCCAATATGTGCCGATGTCCGATAAAGCCCTGTTCGCCGAATAACCAACAAATACCTCATTCGAGACGAAGTGGAGAAAGCAAAAGGAGGAGCAAGACCTTCTACTTTTTAGTTATCTATTTTGCCCTGTGTGGGATTGTTTTCTATTGTATTTGTAGTTTTTTCCTTTCCCTAAAAGATGTATCCCCCTGTCGTTTTGCTTTGTAATGACTTGCTTAATTATCTATGGATCTTATTTTTTGGGGTGCAATGGTTTGTTTTCAAATGGCGCAATACATCGTTAGGCCTACCCTTGGCACAAAAGGGTCACATATCTGCTTAGGACACGTAATAACTGTTTGTGTGAATATGTTGATTTGAATGAGGACATTCTAGCCCACCCTTTTCAAAAAATCCCCGTAAATACAAAAAGCAAGTCACTATCCAAAGTTCGACCAAAATACCCTTCGAGTCTTGAGATTCTCAATCAAAACTGATTTCTATCACCAAATCTTAAAGCCTTGTTGTATCATCTCAAGAAAGGTTGAACTTACTGCTGAGATGGAAAGAAATCAAGGTATTGAAGTTGAGCAGACTGAAGAGGAATTGTTGATGGAACTGTACCAAATCAATTAGGAGATTTGGGAAGTTGAGAGGTGGACTTGGCTAATGCGATCGTGTTGCGATGGATGCAAAGATTGAAATCGCAAAAGGGAAGTTGGCTGATAGCCATAACTTTGATGAAGAAGAATGACAGGACCCTCGAGATAAGGAAGTTGCGTGAGGAATACCCCTTTCTTATGGAAGAGGTTAATGTTGCTGAAGAGAATAACCCTGAAGTTGTGGAAAAACCCAAAAGGGGAATTGATGATACGACCCTTTTGTTAGGGCGACTCAAAGAAGGGGACGAAAAGATCGCCCTCCAAGTGTACTTTCGGGACTATGACCTGGGTCCCAAAATCATTTCACGTGCCACCATTTATCAAACTCTTTGTGCCATGGGCACCCTACATCCTGTCAAAGGATCTACTTCCAGGACTGAACCCAAAGATGCGAAACACTCTTCTGATCTTGTAAATCTGTTGTGTTGTTCTGGCATAGTCCACTCACTTCTGAGATGTGAAGAAACATGGACCAAAATTTTGGTTGTGAAGGGGCAGTGTAAAAATAGGTGACTGTTAGTCTCCCCTGTCATCTCACATAAAGAGCACCAAGGAAGTATGATCTTTTATTTCTTTCTCAATGCTTCATGTGTCAGGCAGGGCTTCCTCACAAACTAACCAACTAAAGCATTTAACTTAAATGGGCTTGGCCTATTCGTTAGTGTCTTGTATAACCCCAGACATTCTGTCTCTTGAGATTGTTAAACATCCTCACATGAACACTTGTAGATTTTACCTTGTAAAAGATTAACTGCTCTTGGATAACTGTGGTCTAATGATCTAGTGTAATAGTTCTTGACAAATGAAATTGGTTATTGGCCCTTATTTTGTTGACTGTAGGCATTCTATATAGTTGATCAATTGCTCTAGTTGGCTAGGATTATAACCAGAATAATTGGTGGTGTTTGCTGTTCTAATTTTTTAGTTTATTAGGCCTTTCTTGCTTTGACACCACAATGAAGCATATCTAGGTTTTCTCAGTCTCTCATTTTATTAGCAGTTATATAGTGTGAGACCTCAAAATTACTGCACTTTCTGCAAGTCCCTACTAAAGTTTGGCCTCTATTTTCTTCTTATCACTTATTTATATCCTGTGGTTTGGATTTCAATTTTGTATGCGCCAGTTGCTCGAATTGCTCTTGTGAAGCCTGACAAGGCCAGAGGAGTTGAAGATGTTATACTCCGAGCTGCTCAATATGGTCAGATCACAGAGAAGGTAAGTTTTGTTTCTTCTTTTCCTTCTTTCCTTTAATCATTTCCTTCTATCTGATTAGTTATGGTGGCCTCACTGCCTTGGTTGGGATTATATTTGCATTTGCAGGTTTCCGAGCAGAAACTGATAGAATTACTTGAACAAATCAACACCCAAACTACTAAGCAAACAAAAGTAACTGTAAGTCGCTCTTCTGCTCAACGCCTCAACCTTTTGATCATCCTTCTCATTTATTAAGCCGAGCCTGAATCTTCTTGCATGCTTGTTCTAATCACTTCTCAGATCCAGAGGCGTCGCAATGTTCTTGAGGATGACGATTGAGTGATTCAGCATATGGCAGGCATGATAATATAGTGCTTTATTTTGTATTTATATGAGACACTTGATTGTGGTGTGTATTGTAATACTCACAAACTTTGTCAAACTCTTGAGTATTGAATGTTCATCTATCAGTTTGGTACGGTTTTAAAAGAATTTGATATTCAGTTTTCGAAATGTTATGGTTTGGATTTTTACTTTTCGATTTCGATTTGTGCCGTTCATTAACTTGGGTAGTACTCTTTAAAATTATATTTTATCAACTAAGCACTGTGCTTAAAATGTTAATGATTGGATGTACATAAGTGGATAGAGGTAATTAATGTCATTTCATGGATCTATTGGCTTATTAGGCAATGATTTTGAAATGTCTTTTGGTTCAGTATTTATTTGTACTAGAGAATCAATAGGCTGTCATCTTCACTATTGATTGGATTTCATTCATCACTTTATAAACTGTATATGGGATGTGGGCCAAAGAGTTTCCTACACCTCTATTTCATCATCACCTATCACACCCAGCCATCCCCCACTAGGCCCCTCCATCTATTTTATTGTATTATTATTATTATTATTATTATTATTATATGATGAGATCTTGGTTGGATACTTGGATTTAAGAAATAAATAGTTGACTCATTTCTCTCATAAAGATTAAAAAAAAAAAACATTCTGGATATTTGACATCTTTCTCTTGGATCTATATCAATTACGTTTTGTTTATCAAGAGTTAAATTATATAAACTTTGATTAATAATAAGATGCATTTTTTCACCATATTGATATGAGAAAAATTGCAATTTACTAAATTTTAATTTTAGAATATTAAATTAATTTGATTCAATTTTTCTTCAAATACTGACTTTCAATATTTTGAAAAATTCAAAAGTATTACTCCATTAATTGTCATGATATATTGGGCATGTGAATATGTACAATTCAATTCTGAAACCTCCTTAAAGAGGAAATCATGATGGCTTTTTTACTATATCAATTATTAGTAAATTTGGCACGACAAAGAAAAGATTTCATTAGATTACGAGGTAATTTTTAATATAATATCCAAGTAATTAAAATATTTATCATTATTCATATGTTTGAAAACATTCAAGAAACAAAGTTCATTATTCCAAACACGTTTTGTAGGGGCCCTAATTAGTGTTCTATCTGTCCTAATTCATGGTTCATAGTGTGAGAATCAAAATATTTAATTTTTAATGTTAATTTAGAAATATATTCTTTAAATTTTAAATAATATTTATATATTTAAAATTTGTAAATCAACATAATTAAAAATTTGAAAAGTTTATAATTAAAAGAAAAATTAGTTGACTCTTGATAACACATTCACATAATTGAAGTGAATGGAGTATAAAATATTCATACGCATCACCAAATATTAGGACATACATAACACATATTATTGATTTATAGTAAGTTTTGTTTTATTCAACATAAAATATATTTGACGTATGTGTTTTGATATTGTCAGAGAGTTGACATTTATTAAAACAAGCCAATCACAATATATGTTACTTTAATTAGAAAACTTGCATTATTATTAAACTAACTAGTCTATTTTTTGCACCCTTTAAGTCTTAACTTATTCTTTCGACAGTTAAATTATGCCAATATCTTAATTTCAATTAATGATTTAAATAATGACAACCAAGTATTTTAAATCTTTCACCTAAACACTGACGAAGAGTTGATCATGTGGTTCAATCATCAATGTAAAATTAGCTCATGAAATATAATCACTCAATCGAATTCGTTCAATTTTGTATGAGTTAAAAATAGTTGTCATTTAATTTAAACTTCGTTTGTCTCATTTTATGTGGCATTCTTACTTTTTTTAGTTCATCTCAAAAGGAATGTTACCTTACTATAATTAGAAAAAAAATAATTTTAAAATTCTCATTATACCCTTAATGAAATGATTTACAACCTCATAAATATCTAAAGATTGTTTTAGACCTCTGTTATTTTTAAAAAATGCTCTGTACTGTTTCAATTTTCATACTAGTTGTCATGTTTTCTTCCTCTTCTTTTCATAAATACTTTAATTTTCATACTAGTTGTTGGTAGAATGGTAAGTACCCCTTTATTCTTAATCAAGAGGTCTCTGGTTCGAGTCCCCTTGGGAACATAGTCCCTTTTATTAGCGCTACCCCAGTGTGGGACTTTCCGGCTCGAATTCGAGCTCTAGTTTTAATATCGGATACCGAATTTGAATCAAAGATCCAATGTGGATATCAGACATACACTACACTCCTCCTTGGACCTCACTTGTGAAATTTATCTGTGGAAAACATTGTTAAAATATTTAATATAGTTTTATACTATTATTTAGCCTATTTTGATTCAGATATCTTAGTCAAAATATTTTAAAAAAAAAATAAGATTGAATAATACAAATACTAATACAAATAGCTAAAATCCAAGAAGAGAGAGTGGCTTTGGTGACCATATAATATTGTGTTTTAACCATAAATAATATATATATATATATATATATATATTACGTGTCTTGTAAAGTTTGAGGAAGGATCATCTGTAATGGGAAAAAAGAAAAAAGTATGGCCACAAAACATATGACTGAATCAAAAGTACTACACAAGGCCGTGTTTGGCTGCCAAAAATAATTATATATTCATCAAATGTCCGATATTTACATTGAAACCTGATTAATTCAAATTCACATTGAATAAAGCCCTATTCGAGAGTAGAGCGCCTATGCAAATATTAAAAAGTTGTTACATTGATCTTTTAAGATTAGTTAGATCTTTATAAGATAACTTCATAGCGTCGCAAAGATTTAAGCATGAAATTAAAGTCATATCTTTATGCCAATTTTCATCAATTTATGAGGAAAATGAAGTAAGGTTTCAAAAAATGAAATAAGTAGTACATTCCTTGAAGTTGACAGTTCAAAGGGATGTGCTTAGCATTACAACAGGCATGTGTTAGAGTTAATTGTTATATACGTAAATTCATGAACTTTCTATAAAATTAAGTATTTTATGTATATATTTGTTAAAATTAGAATGATATTATCTTTTGATACACTCATATTTCAATTTTTTTTTTTGTTTGTCTATGTACGATTGACAAATGAGAGGGTATTGAGAATGGTTGGTAAATGGTGAGGTGACATGTTACGTGATATTCATCTCACAAAAATGTAAGATCACATGGAATGCTACCTAATTGATCATGATTGAAGGTGTTAACGATCTCAAATCAATTTTAAGCTAGTTATCTAACAGTTAAAAGTATTTTGTTCAAAATTTTAAATGGAGATTAAATATAAATAATATTTGAATGGTGAAGAGTCTTATCCTTTTATTTATTTTTAATCAATTGAAATTCAAAATCCAGGTCAATCCGACTCATTTAGTCATTATCATTAACAGTCAAATAGGTTTTAACTATTGTCTCGTTTTGAATACCTATATATATATGTATAATCTCTCTTTATTTATGTGTCACTCTCTATTTGAGATATTGTATCTTTCAAAAACAATTACCATGAAGGATAACATAGAAAAATAATAGTAATTATTTTTATTTTGAACTTTTAAAATAATAATAATTTGAAATAACTATTTTTAGAAATCACGATTGATAATTTCAGATAAAGAAAGTATATTCGTGCACATTCTCATATACCCCCTTCGTATAAAATTATCAGACATGTTCTTTTCTACACATATCTTTAGAAAATATTAATTAGAAGCTTTATTTTTACATGTTAAGATATAGTCTCTCTTCATTAAACTTCTACTCTATTGTTAACCAAAAAAAGAAAAATATTTATTGAGGTGTTTGTAATCTTTTAGAACAATCACTACTAAGGATAAAATATATAAAAAAATCATTAATTTTGTCTTGAGCTTCTAAGACAACAAACAATTTCATACTTATCCTGTCTCAAATTATCTATCGTGATTTCTACAAATAATTATTGCAATACATAATTCATTCCTAATTTATACATATATCAGTTATAGAAATTTTATAAATTATCAACCAAATGTCGTATCAACTTTATATATCAATAACATATTTTCTATCTACCTACTAAACATTTCATACAAGTTATCCAAAACTTAATACATGTATTAATAATTTCTTATCCAGCTACGAAACGATCCCATAATTTATTTATAAAATTCAAGTCAAGCACTATTGATTAGCACTACAAACTTTCAATATAGGATAATACATAGTACTATGATTAATTAACACTAATCTATCCATTAATTAATGTTATTCTTTATTTTGTAGCCAAACAAGTCCTTTTCCTGTTTCTCTTCTTTCGTCTGTTCCATTCCATAAGCCCAGAAAATTTATGTCACGTGAAAACCATAATTTCAAGAACTGTCTCCCAGTTTCTGGTATTCCGACCGGCCAATTAGCTGTTTTCCGGCGAGACCCAGATGGAGAAAGAGCCACTCCTTCCTTCTTATCTCAGCCCCAAAGCATCACCTTACACATACCCATCTCCTATTTCCCTCTGCCCTTTACCGGAACACAATGAAATTTCAATCCCTCCAGTTTCTGTCCCTCTTACCCCTTCTGAACTCAAAGAACGGATTATATTTGGACCCGCTGAAGCTTCTGCAACTGCTATTGATGCTTTGACCTTGAACTTAACATCTCCAGACCATCCTGCTTCTTCATCTTCAACAAATCTTGAAACAGCTGATAATCAGAATTCTTGGTTGATTGACCCAAATTACCCTTCTTGGACGAAGAGTAATCTTCATAGGTCTAAAACAGCACCAGCAATGGCTGTTATAAATGATTTTGAACATTCACCTGTTTCAAAGCCACCCCAATTTGGGAAAATTTCAATTGTTGGACAAGGGGTTGCGCTTTTGATACTTTACTTGGCACTTGGGGTGGCGATATATTCCTTTTTTAAGGATCATTTTAAAGCTACTGAGACTCACCCCATTGTTGATGCTTTGTATTTTTGTATTGTTACTATGTGTACTATTGGTTATGGTGATATAACTCCTAATAGTACGCCTACTAAGTTGTTCTCTATCTTGTTTGTGCTTGTTGGGCTTGGTTTTATCGATATTTTGCTTAGTGGGATGGTTAGTTATGTGCTTGATTTGCAAGAGAACTACTTGTTAAGGAGTATTAAAAGTGGGAAATCACATGATGCTAGGTCTTATATAATTGATGT